TTCTTGACATAGCAACTTTCAAAAAAGTTCCGGTACCGTTTTAAAAAATCAGTTTGACACCCCCTATTCTTTGTTGGGTTGCGTTCAACCCCTTCTCACACAGTGGCGTAGGCAGGGGGGGGTTAGGGGGGGTTATAACCCCCCCCCATGTACCCCCAATATGACTACCTTTTTACCTTAAGCTACAGCTATTGACTTGTGTCGATATTATTTAGGGCTTAAACACTAAACACTTAACCTGGCAGCCTCTAGAACAACAATGTATATCATTGTGATGAGAATTGCCTGTAGAATTTAGTTATGAATTTTATTATCGTGCTAAAGTTAAGTATAATAATCTGGAACGCAGTAGGCCAAGGGAAAGTTGGCCAAGGTTAGATCAGTTAAGGAGTGTCGAATGGGGAGGGGTGGGCTACGTGGGTAGGCCTTTGTTGTCTAATATGATTGTAGTGCAACCGGAAAGCGCCTAGAAATTTAAAAAAAAACAACAACGAAGGAATTGATTATTATTCGCATTGAGGTTCTATAATGTGTATGTTTTTACTACTTCAAAACATTTGAAATTCATTTCACTAATGGCGGATGAAACAGGGAAACTGAAAACTATTTAATTTTTAAAAAGATAAGTAAACTGAAAATGATAAAGATGGCAGAGGACACAAGGTTATCAGTTAAAGGGTGTGACAGGGGGGGGGGGGGGTGAGGGTGGGTTTGAATATGGGTACGTCTCAATTACTACCGGATGCACATCTGGCAGGAAAGCGTGGGCTGGACCCACAATTGTTGACACAAAACTTAGTGTTGGTAGATATAAAAACTGCGTAGGTGGTTAAATATAGATGTAGAGCCAGGAACCTACAGTAGTCATTTTTAGACAGTCAGAAAAGAAAGACCAATAATTATTTATTTTCTTATTCGCATAGTCGTGTTTTAATGTGTATCTTTTTGATAATTAAAGCAATTTAAATTCATTTTAATGATGTCGGATGGAAAAAGGAAATTTAAAACTACTTTATTAACTGATTTCTTTACAAAGAAAAATAAAACTGAAAATGATAAAAATGAAGATGGTACTATTGACTCTCAAACTACATTACATCAAGAAATTTCCATAAATTCAGCACCTTTGACTGTTTCTTATGCAAATGATATCGGCAATTTTATCAAAGGAGTTATTACAGATGATACACGGTTGTATTTATTAGAAAACATCTGGCGTCCCGAAGAACTTTTTAAATTTCCAGCAAGCGGACAAAGAAATTTAAAGTTTCAATATTCGTGGCTACTTAGATCTAGGTGGAACTGGTTGACTTATTCCAAATTACTTGATGGCGCATTTTGCAAATATTGTGTTTTGTTTAGTTTGAATTATGGTGGTGTAGGTAGTCAGCCTTTAGGTAAGTTATCAAAAATTCCATTTTCAAACTGGAAAAAGGCAACAGACAAGTTTAATGAGCACCAGCAATGTGAATATCATAAAAGAGCAATTTTACTTTCCCAAAATCGTAAATCGGTTATGGAGAAAAAAATAGAACCTATTAACATCGCCTTGAACTCATCAGTAAGTCAACAAATTCTAGAAAATCGTTTAAGGTTAGCGCCCATAATAGAAACTATAATTTTTTGCGGCCGACAAGGTCTTGCACTTAGGGGGGCACAGGGATTTCGGAAATTTTCAGTTGGAGGATCCTGACGAAAATGATGGAAATTTTCGAGCTCTTTTAAGATACAAAGCCATGGGTGGAGACGAAACACTTAAACATCATCTAGAAAATTCTTCAAAAAATGCAAGATACTTAAGTCCCACCATTCAGAATGAAGTGATAAATGTGTGCAATAAATTAATTGTTCAAAAGATTGTTGCGAAAATTACTTCTGTTAAATTGTTTTCTGTCTTAGCCGATGAAACTAGTGATATAGCTGGTATGGAGCAATTTTCGTTGTGTGTTCGCTACTATGATAACGACATAAAGAAAATAAGGGAGGATTTCCTACAGTTTGTAGGTGTAACTGATCTAACAGGCAAAGGACTTGCAAATGTTTTAATGGACACTCTAGCAAATTTACACATAGACGGTAATTTTATGATAGGTCAAGGATATGATGGAGCCGCTGCAATGAGTGGTCGACTTCATGGGGCGCAACAATATGTTGCTGAGAAATTTGATTTGGCTATTTACGTGCATTGCGCATCTCACAGTCTAAACCTAGCACTTTCTGATGCCTGCGAACTACCAGCTGTAAGAAACTGTATGGGAATTCTTAATAGTACATACAACTTTTTTAACACACCAAAACGACAATCTTTGCTTGCAAATTCAATAGAGAAATTAACACCTAAAGCATCAGCATCTCGACTTAAACGATTGTGCGCAACCAGATGGATTGAGCGTCATGAGTCTGTCAACGTTTTTATACAGCTTCAAAAAGCAACTGTTGATGCACTGGAAATTATGTCATCCTGGCACGATACAACAACTTCTTCAACAGCGGTTCAACTTTTAGGTGCAATTAGGAGTCTTGAGTTTCAAGTTTCTCTTAGAGTTATCTCAAAAATCTTTGCAATAACACTTCCTGTCAGCAGAATACTCCAAACAGAAAACTTTGATCTATCTGCGGCTCTAAAATTTACAGAAGATTCAAGTAGCCTACTAGTGAATATGCGGAAGGATGCTGAATCAGAATTTACTACCGTATTTAATGAAGTCAAAGACATTTGTGAGGACTTCGACATAGATATACTTATTCCACGTCGAGCTGGAAAACAAATTCAACGCTGCAATGTTATGGCAAATACGCCTGAAGAGTATTACAGAATAGCTGTATTTATTCCTTTCCTTGATTCGGTTATATGTCAAATAGGAGACAGATTGCTAAAACATAAATCTGTTTTGAGAGGTTTTATGTGTCTTTTACCCAATGACTCGGGTTTTACCAAAGAACAGGAAAAGAATGCCATAATACTTATGCAAAAATATGAACGTTTGATTAACAGCAGTGTCATCGATGAAAGCATTGGAGAACTGAAACTGTGGTGGCGCCACATTATTACAAGTGGAAATGTACCGCAAAACGCTCATCAAGCTTTTTTAATGTGTGACGTAAAAATATTTCCAACAGTACACAAACTACTGCAAATATTTGTAACATTGCCTGTAACAACTGCCGTTAGCGAACGCTCTTTTTCCACTCTCAGACGGCTAAAAACGTACTTGCGAAATACTACTTGCGAGGATAGACTAAATGGATTGGCATTATTAAATATTCACCGACAAATTGAAATTTTAGCGGATGAGGTTCTTGATGAATTAGCCAAGAGTCCAAGAAGACTTGAACTACGATTATAGGTAAGTAATGTTATAAGTACTTTTATCTGTTTGCTGTGTTCTAGTACTGTTATTGCGTCTATATATATATATATATATATATATATATATATATATATATATATATATATATATATATATATAAAATGCTGGAAAAAAATTGGAACCCCCCCCATGAGACGATCCTGGCTACGCCACTGTTCTCACAGCTCCCAAACACAAGAGAGATGTAACCGCTTGACGTGCGTGTTTTCATCTACACTGTGGAATTGAGCAGTTAGGTTTGGACAACTCATTTGGCACTGGTATATCCAGTTTATAAAAATCACTCCGACTGCATGTTCGAGATTACAATTCTTTATTTCTTGATGAATAATCACTGTTCAAGAATTATATTAAAACCAACAGACCTCCAATATCACGTCCATATACACTTACCAGACCACTCTGAATCGCATCTTCTACTGACAATGTACTGTGTTCAATCGTTCTCTGTGACCATTGCACTCACAGTAACCTTTGTGGCCCTACCCTTTCGCTATCTTCACGCCAGACACGATTGGTCTTCGTAAGCCTTGGCTAACTCCGTGCTTCAGCATTTAGTCTCTGTCCTCACGCTGTGTGCCCACCCGCTCAAGTAGAGCTGCTTATATACACACACAGATCTTTTGTTTCCTATTTACTAAACAAGTTCTATAAAGGTCAAACTATTATATTTCGGTTAAAAAATATCATGTTTACATCAAATAAACACGTCTTGTTGACAGTTAAATTCTATTATAGTCATACCAGTATCCTGTTTTAGTCAGTTACGTTATAGCTAAGGGGTCATCCATAAATGACGTCACGCTTTTTTGACGATTTTACCCCCCCCCCCCCCTCCTGCGTCACAAAAAGCCAGAACCCCCTAAAATGAAGTCACACCTCAGCCTACAAGCCCCTCAAAATTGCAGTTGAATTTTTCTTAAAAAATCGATATTTTTTCGAAATCTTGTCTGAGCTGTCAACATACAGAGTATTTTAATCAATTCCTATTACCATTTATTAAAACAGTTTTCTAAAACGCGAAATAAAACTCGTTTTCTAACATTGCTTTTTTATAATGCAAAAGTGTGACGTCACACCATCTGACCCCCCATATTCACACACCGTCACAAAATTATGGACCCCTCCCCTCTACGAGTGTGACGTCATTTATGGACGCCCCCTAATCTGCAAGTTAGGATTTGGCCTTGACCCTGTTGAGATCCAAGTTATCAATTGCAGTGTTTTTAACTTTACACAAATCTCACTCTCTCTATATATAATATATATATTTTACATATATATATCAAATATATAAAACCTTAATTTTAAATGGCTTATTAGATTTGACAGGTTTTATTTTATTTTAAATATTTACTTACAATATTGTTTTGTATTACTTAATGCAAGTTTTATAACACAAATACAACACATTTTCAAGGTTTATATATTTTTTATTTTAATGATTAAAGTTTGCCTTGTTTGCTTTGAGATTGACTAGTTACTGCATTGTTTATCAATGATTCAGTAAATATTATACATTAAAAATGAGTCATGAGATTTGTTACAATGCAAGATGTGAGCAGGGTCGATGATTGAATTTGAACGTACGACGATCCAATACAATTACAAATCAAGACAGGACGACAGTTGTTCATTTCATCTTTTAATTACACTGCTTCAATATACAACTGACACGACTATATCGACAACAAAGACATCCACACACCAACACCACAGGACAAAGACTGATTTCAACTCCTTCCCCTAACAACCATATCATACGCTCACACGTAACATACTTACTTGCCTCGTCACATTCAACATCTTTTATTAATACAACACATTCCACTACACACATAAAATATATAAGTTATGTAAATAAATATTTTAATCGGTGTTAGCCCCACCCCCTCCTGTGGCAGACAAATTTTATAGAAACACTGTTAGATGTTATAAGGTATATGATAATGCTAATAAATGAATAGTATTGTTAGCTTCCAAGTCCAAATTTTTAAAAATAGTTTTGGTGCAATAAAATTTATTTATGTATTTATTTTTTAAAGTGATAAAAATATAAATTATTGGCAAACGGTATTTTCAAGATAAAAATACTCATCATCTAAATGTTCATCATCAGAAAAAAGTACAGTACTCTGTCATGGGTTTTTCTGCTGGTATCACATTTAGGCCCATTAAAGCATGATGATTTAGAGAGTTTAAACAACTTTCCATTCAAACTTATTTAACACTGGCAACATTTAGAAAGCTTTTTAAAATAGAGACAATTGAGATTAGCATTAATCAATATCAAAGTCACTGCCACTGTCATCTTCTTGGAGTGCACCTCTTATTTCTCCTGTACTTTTATCTCTGATAATGCACATTGAGTCTTTACTGGGTAGAAAGCCATGCCTTCAAAAGAAAAAAAACAACTTTAAAGAGCTATAAATCGAATGGTATATTTTCTAGTTAAAAAACATTTATTATGATTAGCTTTTATATGGGAAAAAACTGACCAAGGAGCTTAATTCACTAAGCCCAACAAGTTTTTGTGCTAAATTACGTTTTTGGTATTTCAGGAAATAGGCAGAAAGTAGCCAATAAGAAGTTTGATACTTCTTATAGTACTTAAATTCACTAAGAACAGAACATAGTGTTTTTTGTAAGTGTCATAAATATAATACTTACTCATGAAGAAAACTCTCAACATCATTGGCGAAAAAATCATCACCCAACTCTTCTCTTAACTTAACAAAGTTTCCTAAAAGCTCTTTATTTTTATAGACTAATAGTGCAGGTACTCCTCTCTCAGCCTACAAAATAAAATATGCGATTAGTAAAGCTGAAAGGAAGTTCTGTGTTAAATGGAACAAATTATTACAACATAAAATGCCATAATTTCCCCCAAATGGTGCTGTTTTTTTTCCTGTGGAGTGTTGCAGGGGGAGATGAAGAAGTGCATTAATTTCACATATGATTCATAAATGAAGAAATCTTCAAGTGATGTCTGAATAGTCATTGAAATATATTGCTTATACTTTCTTATGACTTACAAACTTGAAGCTCATCTTTGCATCAGTTGCTGAGATTCTGCAAAATTTGACAGTGGGATATTCACTTGCTAAACACATTAAACATCCATTCATTGATTCACATGCAGCATTGCCCTGTTGGATCAAAATTCAATATATATTTATACTTATACATTCTCAAAACTTAAAAAAAAAAAAAAATTGCATACCATCAAGTTAAGACAACACTATTATAGACCTCATCTATATATTTATGTCAAGCAGAAAATGTATTACATATTTTTATGCAAACTTTGCAGTATTTGAACAAAAATATTTTGTAATCAATGTCCAAATTAAAATGGAAGATGTAACGTAACATCAGTTTCAAAATAAGTCTTAAAATCACAATATGGTTAAATTTACATTTTTGTTCTCACAAAAAGTGAATAGTCAAGAGCAAATTTTTCTGAACTTAAGCTGGTATCATTGATTTTTCATTGCAGCTATAGTTTAACAACAAATCAAATAACTGTCTCACCCATTAATAATACCTACCTCACTGTATATGTGAACAATAACAGTAACATTTCCATTTTCACCATCTACCTCATCTAAAAAGTTTTTTGATGTGAGCAAAACTAGCTTTCCAAACTGGGGTCTGCAGGTTAGGATAAATAAAATATAAAAAGAAAGAATTTGAGAATTAACATGCATCAAATCAACTCTGGTACAACAAGATAAGTTAATCAAATAGGTTTTTTTAATTAACAAGTTATTTACATGCTTGCTAAAGCCTTTCGCATTTCTTCTATTCGTTGAAGTCTGTACTCCTTCAAAAACTCATCTTCCAAATCCTCTAGTTCAGCCAAAAATTCATCATCCTGTACTTTTTCTTTTTCATCATTTAACTGAAATAGTGTATGGTAATGCTTTTTTTAAAATGTCATTAATCATTAAATCAAATTTTAAAATCAGATTTACATGTTCCATGGAAAAGCATTTTCATATTGCCTAACTTAAATTTTTCTACTCACATGAGATCTGCAAGTTAAAGTGAGTTTTTTTGCTAGTTGGTTTCTAATTCTTTCTTGTTCCTCCCTTTTTTCTACCTCAAGTCTTTTGTATTCTCTCCAGTCTTTAATAACACCTTTAGGACCAGTCTGAAAATAATGGTTTGTGATTTTAATTAAAATAAAACAACAGTAGGCCTAACCATAACTTTGTCAGTTTTTAAAAAAGACATGTAAATAGAAGGCATTAGAAGGGAAAATGGAGATGTAACTTTGTAACACAATATACAATTTATCATAATGCATAGGCCTAGTATTTATAGAATAGATTTAAAAATCTAATTATTGATATTTCTAATGAAAAGTTTTGAAAGAATCAATCAATAAAAATTATCAATTTGTGTACAAGTTTGAAAGCTGCTTAGGACAATCATATTAATAATTCATTAATTGTATTTCTAGTCTACTCACATTTGTAACAATGCCATTATTTTCCGCTTGTAGGGAATCTGAAGAAAAAGGAGCTTCCCTGATAGTTGGATGGATGTTCTTCTCCTCCTTTTCATCTTCTATGTCACTGTTATTATTATCACTGTCATCTTCACTACTACTGCAGTAGTAATGAACTTTTTCACCAAGTAATTTGTCGTCCAATCCCAAAGACATTTTTTTTTACTGGCAATAGATCCAGATTCTATATTTCACTATAACGATTCACACAATACATAAAGTATTCTAGATCTAGTTAGTTAAAAGAGCACTTATGATTCCATAAATGTTTAGTCCAAAGGAATAAAAAAAAGTATATTATTTTAGTGTCTTTCAATACTAGATCTAGAATAAATTAGCCAAGCCAGATCAAATTTTTTGAAACGTTGCCAAATTCTATGAAAATTTGAAAATAGGAACAGCTGTGAACTATCTTCCATTTCGTGAAAAAAGACTCAGATGGGCTAGATCTAGATCTATGTTTATTTTATACTTACTAAACATTTGTGTTGAGGTAAACCGATAACAACCACCCGGGTATCATGGGTTTCACTGAGTGTTTTTCGGAGCCACTACAGCAGGGAAGCTGGGTAAGTCTCCTTGTTCGATTAATGCAAAGCTCTGTCACTTTAACCACCTTATACTATAATTACAATGTATTCCTAAAACTGAACTAAACTTAATGTTACTAACTTTCGCTTAATTTTCGTTAATATTTTTCTCTTTGTTGGTCTTTGCATTTTTTTCACCACGCTTTCCCCACATTTCCATGCAGGCCGTTAAAATAAACCTGTAACCGTTACGATATGAAAATTTAGTATGTACTTTTTGGTTGACAGGACAAAAACACAAATGTTGGTTTTTAATTTTGTAATTGTATTATTTTTATTGTTAAATAAATATTAATGACACGTAATGAGATATGTATAATAATTAAGGGGAGAGAATAACAGAAAACGGAGGGGGTGAATTATCACAACCTGTACGACACTATGAACCTCACTCCAAACCAAACTCACAGCACCTACCGCCACCCCCGAACCCCAGCAACCAAAACATAAAAAATCTCATATATATATATATATATATATATATATATATATATATATATATATATATATATATATATATATATATATATATATATATATATATTGGCGCCCCGGGATCCCCAGTGAGCACTTTGACGCCCACGTTCGTTTTAATACGTTATGACGGGCTACTATCGTCGTTAACTAAATCGATTCAGGCGCGTCCTCCGGCGCTCCGACAGGGTGCGATTTTGTGCATCGGGCTCCCCTGGAGTACTTTGGCGCCTACGTTTGTTTTAAAGAGTGTGATACACTATGGATACGATGGGCTATTATAATGGTTGACTAAATTAAAACAGGCGTCTATATTAGTTTTAAAGAGCACACTAGAATAGGCGCAAGGTGGCAAACGACATTAATTAAACCGAACCAGGGTCCGTACCCGGCACCCTCGTGGTAGTATAAGAGGTAGCTACCGAAACATACAAGGTTTTCATACAAAATGCCCTGTCAGTCTTGATTTTGTGTCGGCAAGTGTTAGACTATAAATGGTAATTAAGCTTATTTTCTACCATCAATACTATCATTTGGTTTTTACTATCAGTTCCAATCTGATGACCTTCTTCTTCTGCGTTCTTAATCAGAAATTCTTCCAGGCATCTCTTCGAATATAATTTACCGCCCCCCCCCCCCCGAACGAAATGAAATTTATATAATTTATATAGAAAATATATATGCTTTTAACAGTGTCCGCCCCCCCCCCCCCGAAGAAAGTCTACCGCCCCCCCGCCCCCCGGAGAAAAACGTCTGGAAGAAACACTGTTCTTAATTAAGTTTATGGATGAACTGGACTGTGGTCTCCAGATCCGGCCCCCTACATGCGCGCCGGGATTCCACAGGCAGGACGCCACATCTGTAAGTACTATTGCTTTCCTCCATCATAAACTTAAGCAATGCCTGCCAGCATGTTATGCGCCATAAGATATGACCCGCTGACTCCTTCAATCTGCTTTTCTTTCTGGATTTGCTTCCATGGCCTTTGATCACACTAGGGCAAACTACAAGACGGCAGCTGTTTGATTTTGGAGTTTTCTCTCCTAGATGGGTTGCTGTCCCTAGCTGACGAGCCCTATCTGCCCGGGTTTGGAATTATAGCACCCCATACTCGCCGATGCAGCCTTTTCCTTGGATTTATGAGATGTTTTAGATTGAATATCCTAGCCAGTAAATATCCCACCTCATCCTCCATGACCACAAACCAGTTGGTCCACGGCTGTTTATTTGGTATTCACAGCGAACCCTTATATCTAAGGGCCTCTCCCCCAATCTGACACCCGGGGACGCGCTTGGTAGGAGATGGTAGCTCCCCCAAAATCTGATGACCTAACTTAATTATTTTTCAGAGTGTGTCCCATAGAGCTACATATTTTTCATATCTATTTAGAAAACTAGGTACCCGCTTTGCTGCTGTATCAGAAGAGAAGCTGACGCATTATTTTAAGAGGATTCCATTAATGCGTTACAATCGTGTATTTTTTAGACGCGAGACCCTGATTTCTAAAACAGTTATTTTATTATAAACCAAACAAGCGCTATATTTCTTGGATCATAGTTGTCGGGCGCAGGTTTGTCTACACTACCGCCCAGACGCACCAAGTGTTCGTTAATAGTGAGGTAGAAAATACCTCGGCGACAGCCCAGGTGTCACGGGCGTTGCGGAGCATTCTGTGGAGCCACCGGTTTCACTGCCGCGGGGGTGCTTGGAGTATTCTCAAAACTTTCCAAAGTTTCATGACAATCGGATAAAAGGTGTTGTGCATAATGTGCATTAAGGACAGACAAACAGACTAACGGTATGGATCTAGAATATATAGGCTATACGGGTACAGATAGTAGATTCCGAAACAAAGTTTTCCTGTAGAATTTGCATCAATTTAGTAATTAGTATGACCGTTTCAATGTTTTGTTCTTTTCATTCAAATCATAGCTTGATTTCAAATTGAATTGATTACAAAAAAGTTTTTCATAGAAAGCTTTTCTTCATACATTTTTAAACTAGGATTTAGATTCTAGATCTGGATTCTATACTCTATTCTATAGGTATGTAGTAATAGTAATAATAGTCATTTTGGTAATCTATCGTTTGAGTTTTATTTTAGGTACGATACACGTAAAATCGCCCGCGGCTAGATTCTAGTACGAAAAACAAAAAAGGGTAAATCGCCCGCGACTAGTAATGTGAAAAACAGGTGACTCCTTAAATTTTAATAATTATTTCACATTTTGAGGAGGATTTATGTTTTGAAAAATTCAAAAATGTTTCCTTGTTTCATTTTGATTTATGTTAATAATTAATAGGTAATCTATCGTTTTGGGTACGTAAAATTAAAAAAAAAATCGCCCGCGATTTGTAATGTGAAAAACAGGTGACTCCTTAAATTTTAATAATTATTTCACATTTTGAGGAGGATTTATGTTTTAAAAAATTCAAAAATGTTTCCTTGATTCATTTATGTACCTGTTTTTAAACAATTGAATTAAAACTTTTCCGTAATAAATGAAGACTAGCGATGTTTCCAACAGATGCAACCATGCTCATTTACTATAGCAGCCATCTTGTCTAAGTTTTATTTTTATAAGCTTTTAGCGCCAGATTCAGGGGGAAGCCACTCTATTTTACAAATGGCTGCTGTTTATATAGCAAATCTTGCTCTCAGACACTGCTGTTTTAAGTTAATTTCTGGCCTATATCGATATATTTAGCCATTGATTTAGGTTTATTATTCATTTATCTATAATATTTGACACAAAAGTATGACAATATACTTTTATTAAAGCCTTGACAATGAGGTAACGTTTTCGTACATAAATAGCCGCGGGCGATTTTACGTACCCAAAACGATAGATTACCAATTAATATTAATAATACTAATATGTATTGTATATTAATATAAAAGTTGCAAATGCAGAAAAAACGGGGGAAAAAAGTTAAATTTGAGAACATTTTCTTGGTAAATTTGGCCATATTTTTATAATTCTGGGTGAAAATGTTTTTTTTTAGCATTGTCTGCTATCTTGTAATTGTAAGCTATCATTAGTTTAATTAATAAGCCGATATTAATTTTAGGTACATCGACAATATGTCAATTACAACAGGAGTCTCAGGAATTCCAAAAAAATCATGGCAACCTTCAAATGTTACTTTTGAAACAACGTAAGTACCATAGTAGTAGTATACTAATAATAGTATTATCAATTAACTTGAAAAATACCCAATTTTAAGTCATTCATATTAGATATATGGGACGGCGTGGCCAAAGCAGTAGAGTGCTAGGCTGCGATGGGGGGGGGGGGTACATATGTCCCAGGGTGTCGACCCTATGGGCAGCAAAATGGGTTGGAAAAAATAATTAAAAGCTCATTTTATCTGCAGTATTGCATTATAATTATAAATATAAAAATATATGGGGGTCGCCAATAAAGTTTTTTTTGGGGGGGGGGGGGGGTGTGTGTGGAAGGGTCGCTACGCCTCTGAGGCTGCTAACCCCGAACGTCTGGAGTTCAAATCCGGATCCAAGCCAGTAGAATGTTCCTGACTTACCTAACTCATATTAAGGAAAGGCTGCTGGGCAAAGTGCTGACCACACCTTTCCTTTCAACATATGCTAAGGTCTAGAAAAATAGGAAACTCTACTTCATCTGCCCAATGGATTGCTAGATCTGAAGAGGATTCTTTACATATAATTTTATTATATATAAAAATAATATAGACTAATAATAAATATCAGTTTGAATTTTTCTTTAGAATTTCAATTAGAATGTTAAAGGACTGCCTGCATTACACTAAAAAGTCCTAAGTAAAATATAGTTTATTTTGTTTTAATTTTTCTTTATTTGTATATTTCTAATTTTAATAGAATGGGAAATATTGTAATAGAATTGTATTGGAAACATGCGCCCAACACCTGCAGGAACTTTGCAGAGTTAACTAGACGTGGCTACTACAATGGAATCAAGTTTCACAGGATTATCAAAGACTTTATGATTCAGGGTGGTGATCCAACAGGGACAGGTAAATTAAATGTGGCTTTCTTTCTCTGTTTCATTTGAATTGTTTGACTTACAGATAATGTATTTCTCAAAGTTAATATCAGTGTAACAAATAAAATTAATTGTATCTAAGAATGACAGGTAACTGAATATGTGGTCTGAGGTTACTAGTACTAGATAACAGGCATGTGCTTTTATTTAAATTTTGTCAGATTTCAGAATTTTCTACTGCTATTTTCAGTTAAATATAGAATAAAGTATTCTAAAATGGTGCTGTTGTTAAATTAAAAATACAGTTCCTGAGCTTGGTTCCTTTACAGATAATATCACATGTGCACATGTTAAGTCTGATAAAAAAATTCTCATGGTCTGGTCACATACCTGATTTAATTATAATGAACCATTTGAGACTTTTTTTTGGGGTCCATTCACTTTTTTAGCTTTCAACAGATTAAAATTTAGACATTTTTTTATTGAAGTAACAATTTTTTTGGGAATAACATTGACTAAAAATGAAAAAAATAAAAATAAAAGTATTTTACTTCACCGGAAAAGGATATTTTCCATTTAGCTGGTCATATTAAACCTTTTAACTTTTTTTTTATAGCTTTTACTTTTCTAACATTTTATTAATACATTTCAGGTAGAGGAGGAGCATCAATTTATGGCAAAAATTTTGATGATGAAATAACTGAAGATTTGAAGCATACAGGTACATTATATAAAGAACTAGCATATTTGTCCCATGCCTTGCTGTGGTTTTAGAAGAAAGGTTGAGAAGATTTCACCAATGCATCACCAATTGTGTATTTTTTAAACATGTGATCTTACTTTCCGATCTTCTGATTGGAACAGTGTTTCTTCCAGGCATCTCTTCGGTTAATTCCTCTGATTATTTAAATTATGGGGCTCTTGGAAGCTGAAAGGGAAATTTTTTCCCCACAGAAATCTTCCAGTGATTTTCTAATCAACTTCCCTAAATTTTATGACAAAGGTGGTGTAATGCATAAAAGACAGACATGCGCTCATTTTAATATATAGGTGTTCATTTTTAATAGTTAAAAGTATGGTTTAGAGCCATAGCACATTATTTTGGAAGTATAGTTTTTACAAAGGTGCTTGTTGTAGAAATTTGTTACGTTATTTTTTTTTTACTAGTTATTGTTTTATAAGAAAGCATTTAAGAGTTGATTTGATTATTGGATTGACATTGTAAGTTGGTGTTTATCCAGTAATAATTAATACAGCTGTCACAGCAACAGGGAATTTATTATTGCTAACTCTATGAATATATTTAAATGTATCTGGATGTTAACACTATTGTTAAGGCAAGAAAAACATTTTCATTTCCATTGCAGCTTGGCAAATTTATCCAATTTCAACTACAGCTCAATTTATCCAAAATGATATAATCAGAAAATATTTATAAATTATTTTAAAAAAAAATCTCACCTTTAGAACAATTCAAATTCTTTAATTTCAAATGCTAAAAATATTCAGCATCATTGCTTAGGTACTGTATAATATAAGCCTGATTCATTATCAAAGAAATTTTATTTGCTTTGATTGCTGTAATTTTATTGCAAGTACTACTAGTAGTATGGTGTAGTGTTTTTTTTAAATTGTAGAATGAGACAAACAGGAAAATAAATAACTGAAGCTTAGAATTTCTGTCTACAGTCGGTAATGATAAACATAGTTATTACCACTAACACTTCTGCTACTTTTGTACCACAAAAAAATTCTGACAGTAAAGGGTTGATAACTTTGGTGGCCAAGCAATATTTTTAAAAAACCTAGTAAAATACGTCAGAACTTGAGTCTATCTTAAAATTTAAAGGACTATATTTAATCTCTGCATCACATGTAAAATGTAAATATTTTTTATAGAGCTTTTTTAAAAAATACTTTTGTACTGTTTTTTAAGTTATTTGAAACCTTTATAAATGGTAAAATAGCTCTTGTTCATTACAACATGCAACTCTTTACAACATCCATTATCATTAAGCATTTATTGTTTCTTATTTAACAAAAGGTGCTGGAGTGTTGTCAATGGCAAACAGTGGACCAAACACAAATGGTAGTCAATTTTTTATCACATTGGCACCCACACAATGGTTGGATGGAAAGCATTCTATATTTGGAAGAGTATCTTCAGGAATGAGTGTCGTCCAGAGAATAGGCATGGTTGAAACTGATGATGGTGACAGACCAGTTGATCCAATAAAAATATTAAAAGCATATATTTCAGTTACATCATAGTTTTATATTTGTACATTTTGTTATAATAAATTGCATCTAAAATTACAATGTGTTAACTTTCTGGTCTGAAATGTTTTGTTATCAATAACATTACTCTTTTAGAAAAAGAAATGCTCGAACTAATTGAGCCCTAGCAAGTCGAATGTAGTCTTAAAGTCTTATTTACCAATTACTATTTTGTAAATAATTTAAACTTTTGATTAGGTCAGGGTCAAACTGAAATACAACTCATTTAGGGCAGAGATATTTTTAATCAAAGTAAAATGGAAATTCAAAGACATTGGAAAATATTTTTAAGCAATATTATAGTTATACTGTGCCTCTCAGAATAATTGTATATATAATATTATGACCCTTAAATTAATACAGCACTTGACAAAAATCCAACAAAAAAAAAACATGTTTTAAAAGTTTGATGATAGTTTATTTTTATATATTAAATAATTTTCAGCAATAATATTATTTCCAATCAGATGCATATTTATAACCTTTCTTTTCAAGGTCTCTTCTTGCCTCCAGAATTTGCTGAAAATTTAAGAAAATTAATTGGAACTAGAAAATATTTTCAAAACTGTTAAAATACTTGAAGCATGTCATGTCAGACATCAGAAAAAAAATGTGCTTTTCGCTTGCGTGGCCCAATTTTTTTTTAGTTTTTCACTTGATATTTTCTACAATAAAGAGGGCTCGTATAGCAATAAACTTGTTATCTTTACAAAGAAAATTCTTAGCCCTCTAATTCGGCTTAACTTTTATAGTTGTTGATATTACACAATAAACATCTCATTTATTGGTTGAAAACTATCACATAAATTATTTTTAGCGGCTGTTGCGCAACGGATTTTGATCACCACCCCATTTAACTCCAGGCCTTTTTGGTTCATTCAAAGTATTTCTTTACAAATTACAGTAAAATATGTAGAATTGAACGACCTTCAGTGGGATACAAAATAAAAACATGCATTAAAGACTAAATATTTTAAATGTTAAAAAAGAAACCTTTAGCAAATCAATAGTGATTTTTGACACCATATACAAATTTTCTAAGAATTTTCAGTATCATCGTCCATTTTCCTAAAAAAACTCTAAAGTTGATATAATTTCTATTCAAGGCCCAAAAATTGGCAGAGATCTACAAAACACCATAGTGACTACTAAAATTGTTCTAGGCCAGAAGAAAGTGGCAGATGTCCTCGTTAACAACACACCACCACGCTTTTCTAAATTGAAGTTATGTTTAAGAGGCTTAAAAGTGCAATAAAAGAAATAATAAATATTATTAACTGAGGTATTCTAAATAAAATTTACTTTTAAATGTGCTACTGGTTAAAGAGACTAAAAATTATTGTACCAAAAAAATTTCTGTATGTAACTTATGCATAAAGTTTACCTGTTTATGGTTATTCTATATTTTGATATAGTCAGATCTCCTATAGGTTAATTTTTTTTTTTGTTATTTTTAAAAAGATGCATTTTTTACGGACTGTGAAATTCAGCACTCGTCTGATTAAGCGTGTTTCAAACGTACATGTTATAGTATAGGAATAAAGGTTACTTAAATTAAAACAACCGATGGTCACCTACATTTTTATATAACTATCGTGTATGCTGTTTAATCAGAACAATTTTGGCCATTTTTTAAAATGTGCACAATTTGCGTTATTTAACTTAACTTTTTCATTTAATAAAAAAAGTGAGAAAAGCCAAGTAATTTAAATGATGTACTTATTTTTAGATTTGAAAAAAAAAAATTGGGTTTGGTCTCTGTGCATTGTGTTTGTGTTGAGTTCAAAAGATTGAGTTTGAGTCAAATAGTATACAGTATATACTTTTACAGATATAACTCCTCAAACATGGCACTTTTTAGGTTGTCGAAAAAGAAAAGTTAAAAACTAAAATTTTAAAATGCTATAACTTTTTTACTACTTGAGATATATGAATGAATTTGGTATCCAAGATCTTACAACCTCGATGTCCCAAACATAGCAACTTTCAAAAAAGCTTTGGGATTATTTTAGAAAATCAGTTAGACATACTAATTTAAACACAGACACAATCAAAATACTCAACCTCTTTTAACTGTTCTGATGCATCAACACAATCATTAAATGTAGCCACTCTAAATCCAATAACAGCTAATACCCAACACTGAAACATTTTAAAGCACATTTTAAAAAGTGGCTAGTGCTATGATTATAAAGTAATTTATAAATACAGTTTTTTTTTGTTTCATATATCTATCATAGAGCTACAATATTTCATCACATTTCTTTTTTAAGCTAATCATTTGGTAAATAATACTTACAGCAAATGTAATCAATGCATATATTGGAAGCTGAAACATTAGCACTAAGATTATACATAAGAATAAATGATAAACAGCACCTTACTTATTTAAACTCAAAAGAAAGAACATGTGCTAATTTTAGATTTTCATAATTAATAAACAAGATGATTTTTTTTTTGTATGAGAAAAAAATGAATCAGTATGAAAAGCAAATATTAACATAAAAAACACTAACCACAATTATAATGTCATGATATTCTTTAGATAAGTCTGTCTTAAAATAGCCAACAGCATATGCCATCCAAATGCTCAAACTTATGCTGAGCACTATGAGCCATTGAAAAATCTTTGGTACCTAAAAAAGAAAATTTCAAATCAATTAATTTATCGTTTCCATCCTATCTCATGTTCAGGAGATTAAGTTAACCTGTTTTGAATAATTAACTGAGACATAAGCTGAGGCCTGATGTGCATTGGTTACAAAGTGTATTTAAGAATTTGTAACATGTAATATTTTAGTATCACATTGAAAAGTGTGTAGCCTATCAGTTCCTTAATATAGGGCTATACAATTACATTGTTCCTATCTTGTTTGTCAGCCACATTATAATCATCTACCATCACAGTCATGGTCTACTTGTACCTTAACATGTGTAGCACTACCATGTGTTGATTGTGTTTGATAAAGTTCAAGGATTATATGCGCAACAGTGTCTCTCAGGGTCAGCCCCTAAAAGCACTAAACCTCAGTGGGTGACCATCACACCCTATTCTCACTGAGGCAGTTTTACATTATTTTGATATAGGTATATTTATGACATATTTTATAAAATGTAACAGATAATTGATTAATAAATAACTATCAGTGACCAAAACAATGGAAAATATCATCGAATCAAATGTAAACTTATTAATTAAGCAAAGTTGTTTTTGTCAGCAGACATATGATGGCCACCATCACCATGGCAACAGAAGGAATTTTTTTCAGACATTTTTTTTTATTTTTTAAGCTTAACTCATTGAGTTATAACTATATGCAAAATATGATAGCAATGGGTTTAGAAATAAGCATATTGTCTGATTTGGTACTTATCACCTGCCCATGACCTTAAAGATAGTAAGCTAGTAAGGTATTAGCCTTACATAAACAATGTGGCTGAATAATTAATTCTCCCGCTGACAAGATTAAATGAACTCACAATGACCCCAAGCACATCTGTCATATTGCTATTGAGCAGGCAATAGCCCATATTAAAGTATTTATATGCACGGACTGCGACCCCTTAAACTGTGATAACAAGAAAACGTGAGTAGGCGAGAAGTGGGTGACAGTCTTTATATTTTAAATATTCTCTTTATGGACTCGCAGTCACCAGATGACCGAGATGGAATTTTTTCCCGGTTGACAAGAAAATGTAAGTGGGCAATCATAGGAGCAACGATGTTAAAATTTCTTAATATTTAAAAAAATCTAAACTGGATCAAAGAATAAAATAAAACACTTATTATCTAGATGTAAGCCCTCTTGTTAATATTAATAAGATGTTAGGCTTATAACATTACTAGCCGCGGGCGATTTTACGTACCTAAAACGATAGAATTATTAGAACAGATTACCTAAAATTTAAATTAAATTTTTTAAATTAGGGGCCTAATTATTAATTAATAATGATAATTAATTAAGCCTCAGCCTAGCGGTAAAATCTTAGTTTAGCTTCGTAAATTTGGCCAAAACTAGTAATGTGGGAGAGAGTGAATTAATGTATATGTCTTTAAACATGAGTTTATTTTCGTATATTTTAATAAAATATTATAGATTATTGAATAATAGATCACCATTCATGGTTAAATAAATTTAAATATCCTGAAATTAATTTGTATCAACCCTGTTCGAGATAGTAAATTTGCTATTAAAAACAGCAGCCATCTTAAGAAAATGTTATTTAGAGTGGCTTCCCTTTCATTTCTATTCGTATGAAAATGTATTTAAATATGCTTGTCTGTTGTATAGTCTGTCCTACAAAGCATTTTTTAAAATATTCTGCCCTTTAAAAACTAAATTTTCTAACAAACAACTCATCAATTCTAGAAGTATTGTGAGATGCAACTTGTATCCATGTACAAAATCATGTTTTTTGTACTAATGTTTATTTGAGCTTACTATTACTATATAGTTTGAGTTTTTTCTTATTGTTTGAATGTTCACTATTTTCATTTCAGGTTTTTCTTTTCATCAATTAGTGATTCTATCGTAACTTATGACATTTTTTTACTTCTCTTTACCCCAACCTCCGTCATGTTTTTGTTGTCAATGTCACAACAAGTCATAATGTAAAAAATTACGCTTCACTCTGTCTTATCTAAGATCTCTAACCATAATTTTGACAACAATAATTGTTTGTCATCATTTATATATACAGAGAGACAAAATATATTATCCACCAGCTTCCCTCGTAAAACATCATATAATATAATCAGCCTCTCCACCCCTTAAGTGCGTGTTGCCATTATGGTCGATCGCAAGTCTCCACATGTCAGACACATTTTGGTTATCTTTTGTTGCTAAAATGTCAATATCAAATGCCCAAATGAGTGATATGGGGTTGTCCATAAATGATGTCACATATGATTTACTACGGGAGTGAGTGAAGATTTGTGACGTCAACTCAGGCGGCTCCGCAATTTATGACATGTCGGTCTCATGAAAGGAGGTGAACGGGGGAAAATACCTAGGTGATTGATGGAGAACCTCTATAATGCTTTGTTCAATCAAAATAACGATAAATAAGCAATAGTATACGTATACCTTGCTCAAAATGAATTAATCATAAATGTTGCAAGCCTGCTAGTTTGAGAAATTTGGCAAAACAGCCTCAACACATTGTCCCCGTCAAAAAGGCTTGCCACCAAATGCCTGCCGATGAATAAGCAGCGTCTAATGCGGGGCGTTAGGAATATGGCCATTAGCATGGGGCAGCTTTAGAGCACCAGTAGGCTATCGCGCTTTGTAAGATGACGTAAATACTTTAATTCAATTTCGCGAAATTGTGCGAAAATTTAGTAATATTCCATCGTTTGAAGAAATTTATTTTCTTGGACTTATATTGAAATATCATGTTGAATGTCTGGCTCTTAATTTCTGAATATCACTTTTAATGTATCAAGATTCAGAACTATAATTTACTTTAATATAAGTGTCATCTTATCGTTTATTGTGCTTTTTATAAAGCGCAAAGCAGCTTCAAAATCGGACGGCCATCCTGTTTTCACCAAGCTTCTTTTGGAGCTTAATATGGGTAGTCTAGTTCTATACGGTGAGAGCTTAATACATTTTTAAAGGGCCGAAAGTCTCAAGACAGCAAGCTTGCAGAAATAACCACGTATATTTAAATGGACGAGTGATAGATGTGTTAGGGGCTGTTTAATTGAACACCAATATATGTAATCAAATTAACCGTCGCATAAGTGTCAAAGCGGCAGTGCTTGTTTTTTTTTCTATAAAATAAGCCTAACGGTCGGCGGTACAGGTACATGACGTCACGCGCGAGCGTTAACTTGATGACAATGTGCTAATATTATATTAAAGTGGGGGAATGAAAAGGTGGGGTTCAAGAAATGTGACTCAGCATGCTTTTTACATTTCTTGACCCTTCTTTATAGTTCTATTGTCCCCACTGAGAAAATGGATCACCAATGAATGACGCGTCATACTTCTACAGCTGGTCTTTCTCCTACAACCATCCACTGTTTTCACAAAAAAAAAAAAAAAAACCTAACCCGTCTCAAATATTAAAACAATACAGAACAACCACATTAAACCACAAAATCAACACAACAGACATGCGAACAGACAATTTTTCAAGGGAAACTACTCTATTATTGTTTTTGAAACATGGCGGCTGCTTGTATTTACTCATTTTTGTCTCGAACGAGGTAGTTTAAAGTTTATTCCAGGATATTTTTGACTGGTTTGGTCATGGATTGTGATTTGTTATTCAATTATCTGTTATATTATGTAAAATATGACATAAATATATTAAAATTATTAAATATTATTAAATATGGCCAAATGAAAGAAATATTCATTAGTTACCTTCATCGCACATTACTAACTAAACTAGCTACGTTGGAATTTACGACGCTAGGGCCAAAACTAAGATTTTACCTGCCTAGCTACACACAGTAGCTCAGCTAGCTAGGCCAAATTAGCCAAATTATCAAATTATAACTTACTCCCATTACTTTACTGTTTACAGAATACAGTAATTACTAGAATTTACGTCATTAGTTGAAATGAAAAACGGTCTAGATCTAGATCTATAATATAGTATTATATTATATAGACCCTAGAGCTAGATCTAGATTTTAGATTATAGATCCAGATCTAGATCTAGAAATAAATATTGTTGACGTTCGTCAATAAGTAAAAGAGTTCCTACGAATCGAGAGCAAGAGGTTTAACAGTTTACCGAGTTCTGTATTACACACCGAGATTCGATATAGTATATAGATCTACTATATAGATTCTAGATCTAGATTTAGAACTAGATCTATTTTTTATAATAGTATTTTAGGTTAAAAAAAATAAAAATGCAAAATAACAATATTCATTTGTGGCAAATCATGAGGCAACACGGCAACATTCCATAGACAGAGACATTAAAGCACGAATTTAGAAGGGAAGATGAAAAATCGCGATGCAAGCGTTGGACTGGAACCATCAAGAGAAGAAGAAGGGGTAAGAGAATTTAAAACAAGTTAATAAAAAGTCTAGTGACAATTTAAGCGCAATTTCCTTATGTTATCCATAACAATCGAGATAAATCATATATTCAGCAAATAAATAATGCAACACAAGTAGTTTTAATAATTCAAAACAAAATAGAAAAAATATTTATTAACGAGATTTAAAAGAATTTGCGGACGTGTAGGGGGTATTTAGTTGTCGCGCTCTCTATATTGCTATATAAATATAGTACTGTAGTGTATTATGTATAATGTTATTTTTAAAAAAAAAATTGTGACCGAACGAAAGGATATTTTTGAAAACTTTCTACGGCAATATTGTTCTAAATTATGGCAGGAATCGATTGGTAAATGTTTCAAGTCGCTAAGTGGTCTGATTGCCGAGATATGGGCCAAAAACTGCATTTTTTACGAGGTTTTTTGGCTTTTCCGGGAAATCCAAGAAGGAATTCCGGGAATTTTTTTGGCCCACAATCATTCTCGGAACTTGCTTAACATATTTGCTTTTGAAACTAGTCCTGGATATTGGTTCGTTGAGGAGGAGATACGACTTAAAGCTGCGGTAAAGCTGCGGACACACATCCAGAAATGACGAATTAATAATCGCAATTCCAGTATGGAAATTGCGCTAAAAAGTGACCCGGCATATATGATCCTGATTCAGTACAATGGAAGGAAACGAGCCCCCCCCCCTCCGAACGAAATGGAATTTATATAGATAATATATACTTTTAACAGTGTACCCCCCTTCCGTCACAAAAAGCCAGTGTCCCCCCCCCCCCCGAAAATGACGTCACATCTCAGCCTACAACCCACCTTAAAAATTGCATTACATTTTTTCTTAAAACATCGATATTTTTTAAAAATGTTTCCTGAACTGTCAACACAGAGTATTTTAATCAATTTATATCACAAATTATTAAAACAGTTTTCTAAAACGCGAAATAACGGCTAAAATTAATTTTCTAACATTGCTTTCTTATAATGCAAAAGTGTGACGTCACACCATCTGAACCCCCCTGCCCTTCATCACACACTGTCACAAAATTATAGATCCCCTCCCACTACGAGTGTGATGTTATATATGGACGACCCCATAAGCAGAGGCGTAGCGATGGGGGTGGGGGGCAGGGGGGTAGATATGTCCCCGGGCGCCGACCGGGGGCAAATCGAAAAAGTTTGAGGGGAGGGGTGCAAATCAAAAGTTTGAAAAATTAGCTTCCGAGGGGAGCACCAAATTAAAAGTTTGTCCCCGGGCGCCGGGAAGGGTCGCTACGGCTCTGCCCCAAAGAGAACTGTTTGAAACAGTCTGCAAGCAGGTGACCCAAGCAAGTGCAGGGTTAGATGCATAGTGAGCAATCATGCTTCAGTGATTCAAATATGAAACTACACATTTACACACGTGATAATAACAGGCTTTCTTAAGTGAATAAGCCTTTAAATTGACACTTAGCTGTCACTTGTCTGACGAACCAAACCTTTGTAAAACCCAAGTTACTTTAATTAGCCTAGATTAGTTTGTATAGGGAATGGCATGTCACTATGTCAGCCGTAGAATTAAATGCATTGATTCACACTTCGCTTGACCGGATCGCCCCCCCCCCCTGCCCCAGAAGAGATACACGAGAAATAAACTCGACTCTCCTCACTGACATGTTCACAACCTCAAACCCATTCTGACAGACCCCAGAAGATGTCTTCTTAGCTTAACTGTTGCCTATTCGGCCGTATTGTATCCAGTATGCCTAATTATGTTAACATGAATATATTAGGTCTTTACAATCTATTAAAAAAATTAACAACCTATTTACACAGGAACTAGTTTTTTTTAAGTATAGGCCCTGCGATTAATTCATTACCATTTCTTTTAGACCTCTTTCTCAGGGGGGGGGGGGGGGGAAGGGGGGTGCAAACCATTAAGTGCCGCACCGGGTGACACCCGACCTCGCTACGCCACTGATATATATATATATATATATATATATATATATATATATATATATATATATATATATATATATATATATATATATATATATATATATATATAATAGTATAACCTAGTTACTGTTTATGTTTATATAGATTTAGAGGTAGAAAATCTAGATCTAGATATTAGATATGACAATAGACTATGCAGTACACAGTATACATTTCGCCTCGCACAATCTCCCCTGGGTTGGTCGGCGCAACAATTATATTAAAATTATTATCCCCCCCCCCCCCTTACCTCTCTGCAACGTTTTATTTATTAGGCCTACCCGCCCTAATTTTTTGCTTTGAGATGGCTACGTATACTAACACAATTTTTATACAATTTATGGGATAGCTGCTGCCGTTTAACTTTCGTGAAGGCAACCGAGATCGTGTCTGCGCTAGACAGTAGTCAGTATAGATTAGAATCTACATAATAAGCTTTGGCCTACTTTACTTTGGCATTGACAGTTGGTCAGATTTAAAGTAAAGCGGAGGATGTGGCAAAATCCTCAAAGAGCTATGAATCGTGGATTTAGTTATGATGACAGTAGCCGACGTGTAGGTTTCAAAATGGAGTCCTTAGTATCCAAGTATATTAAAATCGCTGCAGTTGTAGCAGCGTACTGGTAAGTCAAGCTAACAAAGCCTAAGCCTAATCATAGTCTAGATTCTAGATCAAGAGATTTATCTAGAGACTAGATCTAGATCTAGAATCTAGATTAGCTACTTTAGTAATAGTAGAAATCTAAGTCCAGTGCCAGTCAGTAGCTAAGCTATTTATTTAATTTTAATACAATTTGTAGTGTAGTTTCTAGTTAATAGTTTAGTAAAGTTTAGTTAATACCTAATACTCCTAATAGATATAGATAGGCCTAATGCCTAATATAATACATTAATTTTAATGATAGTATTATAGTAATAAGGCAATAAGTATAGCCAACTAGATCTATCTATAGTCTATAGCCTACTAATAATATAAAGCTATAGGACTAGGCCTATAGGTAAATAATTATTTCTAGATCTAGAGACTAGTTTTTAAGTTTTAACTAGCTTGATTCTAGATCTAGATCTGGTATCACATACTTAGATGTAAGTAGTTTAAGTACTGTTAAGTAGTTTAGTATTTTGTGTCCATAAATGACCACACTCCAAGGGCTGATGGGGGGGGGGCTCGATAATTTTGTGATGGTGCGTGATGAGGGGAGGGGTTCAGATGATGTGACATCACACTTTTGCATTAAAAAAAAGTTATTTTGCTTTTAGATAGGCCTTTTTTAATAAATTGTAATAGGAATTGATTAAAATAATCTGTGTTGACAGAGTTCAGACAGGGTGTGGGGAAATTGCGAGACGCGAAAAGCGAAATGGCGAGGCGGGAAAATGCGAGAAGGACGCGAAAACGTGAAGATTTCTGCGAAAAATTTACTGCACCCGATTTTCAGTGGTATTTGGTCCAGACTTCAAAGACGTTTTGTTTACATGGTTAAAACTTCAGATTTTTCCGTCGCTAGACATACTGATGATTTGTCAACTCCCTCCTTCTTTTGTGTCGACTTAGAATACCACCTTGTTCGAAACCGACGGAAATACCGTCGACGATAGGTCAACTTCTTTCTTTTGTGCGGAACGCCGAGGTCGCCTGATTTACCGACTTTGGAGATCACCGAATCCGCTGCCGCAGCAAACATATTTTGTATTGTTGCATAGAAATGTGTTATGAGGAGGAGGGTGGGGGGAGGGGGGGGGTTTAGATATTGTGACGTCACACTATAAAAAAGCAATGTTAGAAAGTAGAATTTTAGACGATATTTCGCGTTTTAAAAAACTGTTTTAATAAATTGTAATAGGAATTGATTAAAATACCCTATTTGGACAGAAATTAGACAAGATTTTGAGAAAATATCGATGTTTAAAAAGAAAATTCAACTGCAATTTTGAGTGGGGTTGTAGGCTGAGGTGGGGGGGGGGGGGGGGGCTCTGGATTTTTGTGAAATTGTGTGATGGATGGGAGGGGGGAGTTAAAAATCGTCAAAAAAGCGAGACGTCATTTATGGATGACCCCTTTTAGCTATTAAATGGTAGTTTTGTCGATAGCGGACTTTATTCAGATTATCTACAAACGCACATTTTTTCCCATTCTGTTCATATTCGTGTTCTGTGTTAGCACAGTATAAATGGGAGTCTAATGAACTGGGTTGGATGTACTATGTGTGAAAGATGGTGTCACGAGGTGTGTTTGAGTAGTGCTAGGACTGTTTCAGAAGATTTTGTTTGTAAATTTTGTTTGTAATTAAAATTACTTAATAAAAAAATAAATTGCACTTTTTAGAATTGTTTATACTTTTACACTTTTTGCAAGTACAAAAATCCATAAATACATGTTGCAGAATATCTCTCCTGCTGACAAGATTAAACCAATTCACAATGACACAGCTCACGTTTGTATAAACATGAGCGGGCTAGATTTTTAAAATTAATGCCGACTGAGACGGGATTTTCCTCTCGCTAACGAGAGCGGGCGATGACAGTAGCACAGCAACGATGTTAGGATTTTTAAATAGATAGATCTAGATATAGATCTATCTATCTTCTTAGTACCTATCTATCTATATAATAAAATCTAGATAAAAAAAGAACACACAACACTCGTGTTAAAGGGTATGGCTAAATGCTTGTTTATTTTAAAACAAAAAAAATATGAAAAAAAAGCATGAAAAAACTTTTTTTCCGCAAAAAGTGTCTCGCTATTTACCCTTAATTCCGCAGGTATGTCTCGCATTATCTTCTCGCATTTTCCCGCCTCGCCATTTCGCTTTTCGCGTCTCGCAATCTCCCAAGACCCGTTCAGACAAGATTTTGGAAAAATATAGATGTTTTGAGAAAAATTCAACAGCAATTTTGAGGAAGATTGTAGACTGAGGTGTGATGTCATTTGGGGGGGGGTTGGCTTTTAGTGACAATGTGTGACGGAGGGAGATATTGATCTAGAATATAGTACTTTAGTGAAAGTGTAACTAATTTGTGACTTAGATTTTAGATCTTATCTTAGTAAATCTTCCAACTGCTCAGTGTCATGTCTACTTTCATTACTTTTCATTCCAAATCTATTAATAAAAGTTTTACAGTTCATGTGAGAATTTGCATCACACGTTTGATGACAGTGACTCAATCATTATTACAGTTTTTGGAAGGCTTAAGTTCTTATATTAAAAGGCTTAAGTTCTTATATTTAGTTAAGCGTTGTTTGTTGATATATAGCATTGTTTGACTACATTATTCCTTTATGTGCTGTGATGATCACAGAAACTCTTTGTTCTACAGGATCTGAATATTGTTGAGACCAAAAGCATATTTTTTATCCATTTCATCATTTGCTTTGAGAGTCAAGCATTTTTGAAAATAAAAATGCAGAATGTTTACTTAAGAAATTCAACATTTTATTAATTTATGTTGTAAAATATGGGAACCGCATGGTCTAGTGGTAGTGAGCTAGACTACTAACCCGAAAGTCTCAAGTTCGAATCCGTGTTCTGGTCATTAGAATGTCCCTGAGTCCATCCAGCTCTGATGGGTACCTAACTCTTGTTAGGTAAAAAAAAGCTGTAAAATGGTTACAACTGTTGATATAATATACTCAGTATTTTTTCAAGTTTTATCTTTTTCTCACCAATATAAGTATAAAATTTCAGACCTTTTAAGCAGGTTCTTTTTCTCAACAGGGTGATCTCCATTTCTATGGTATTTGTTAATAAGTACTTATTAAGCAGTGAGGATTTAAAGGTATGATATCAAATGTATTAAAATATAGCTAAGGGGTCATCCATTTATGATGTCCACATGTGGGGGGGGGGTCGTTAGAAAAAAAACTGAATTTTGTGGACTCATATGGACTTGTACAAGGAAAAAAAGTGGATTTTTGTGGACGGACGGATGGGGGGGGGGGGGGGGGGGGGGGGGGGGGGGGGGGGGGTCCAACATCCAAAAAAAAATGTGGACGTCATAAATGGATGACCCCTAAAGGTAATTATGCGATTTTATTTTTGTATATTTTTTTAAGCCTACAAACATTAGGCAACTTGTGAGCATGGTGAATTAGTTCATATATGCTTGTGTAATCCCTGTAGTGTATCTTGTGTTCATATGCTTTGTCCATGGTTTAAGAAAAAAAATCTGTTTATATTTGCTTATACACACATACATATAGAGTCTTTAAGATATATATATATATATATCTTCAGAATAATAACTGTAAAAACACAACTATTGCATAGGCTCTAAATACTATACATTTTATTTTATTGACATTGATCATTGTTTCCTTAAAATATGAGACATAATCTATCTATCTATCTATATACTACTAAAAGTCAAGTTTGTTTACATGTTTGAATATTTATTTGTTTGTTTGTTTGTTTGCCTGATCGACTATTGTGATATGTTCGACTCAATCTGGATAGCTGTAAAATAGTATGTAGGTAGAGAATAATTTTTTAATGCAGACAGACTGTTAATCACAAATTTATTTAAAGACGTTAATTAATTTATTGATTTATTCCTACGCAGAATAACCCATTTTTTTTTAAAATGTTAAAACCTTGACTAAACTTTGTGGGAATAGTGACGTCACAGGTTTTTGTTTACTCTTTAGTACAATAAAATGGCGGCGTCTATTGAAGAAAATTGTGTTCCCATTCAAAACTTAACGCGTTATAAATCTAATTTTCTGTCGGTCATAACTTTAACAATACGTCCGTTTGCTGTATTTATTACGTTCCAACACTTATATCAATTTTCAACTGTCTTTTTCATTTAGTTTTACGATAAATTTCTCTGAATCTAAAGATCAGCTGTCGAGAATCTAGCCTAGGGCCTAGATTCTAGATCTAGATCTAGATCTAGATCACTAGACTCAATGTAAATTCTAGATCTAGACTCAATGTAAATTCTAGATCTAGACTTAATGTAAATTCTACATCTAGAATCTATTTCGGGCCTTAATTATTTTATATAAATCTTTGTTTAGCTTCAATGATCATCTAATTCGAGAATACATGGGATTTTTTTGTTATCTAGGTTTTATATCTAGATATAGTAGGATTACTCACTAACTTGGAGGCGTGGTCGGCTGCTAACAACAATATGGCGTACGGACCGGACGAATGACTTCCTACCATTTTTAGGCCATGTTTACCACGAGCAAAATGGCGGGTGTTCACATTATTTAAACATGGTATAGGTGGCCAGGGCTAGATATGCCAGAAAAGCATTTTAAAATTTGCTTTGGAGAATGAAGGCTAAATTTTAAAGCCAGTGTCATAAACATTAATAGAACTTTTTTTTTTTTTTTACGTTTTCAATTATTTTTTCTTAAGCCCTATATGTGAATGATAAGGTTGACTTTCAGGACCTCGCGGGGCACAGGGCACGTGAAGTAGGGTTCATCTGTTTCTTTGTCCTAAGCAAATGAAGGGATAGTGTGGTCAGAGACATGCTTGGCTGGAATCGTTTTTGTTGTCTGAGACTTGGCGGGACACTGGGCAGGTGAAGTAGAGTTGAGTAGGTCACCTGTGACGTCAATATATGAAGGGATAGTCCGAAATCGTTGTTTTCGGTGTTTTTAAAAGATAAAAAACATATTTTTGAATGTGGGGTCTGATTTTGTGACGATAAGTGACACTGCAGTAGCGTAGCGAGGAGGGGGGGGGGGGCGGGAGGGAAGGGGAGGTGGAGGGGGGACATATGTTGGGGCGCCAAAATGGTTTGGAAAAATAAATTGAAAGGTTGAGGGGGGTTCAAATGGAAAGTTTGAGTGGGGGGGGGGGGTGCACATCAAAAGTTTGAAGGGGGTGGGGGGGGTTGAAAATCGAAATCTTGGGGGGGGGGGTTCAAATCGAAAAGTTTGTCCCCGGGCGCCGAGAAGGGTCGCTATGCCTCTGAGTGACAGACGTGATGTTTTTTGATGGATGACCCCCGAAACCCACAGTTATCCAACGGATGACGGGTAGTCTAGTATACTACTAAAAGTCAAGTTTGTTTACATGTTTGAATATTTATTTGTTTGTTTTTTTGTTTGCCTGATCGACTATTGTGATATGTTCGACTCTATCTGGAAAGCTGTAAAATAGTATGCAGGTAGAGAATAATTTTTTAATGCAGACAGACTGTTGATCACAAATTTATTTAAAGACGTTAATTAATTAATTGATTTATTCATATGCAGAGTAACCCATTTTTTTAAAAAAGATTTGAAAAGCCACTAGACTCGACGGAAACAGTGACGTCACATGAAGTGTTTATTTTTTTACATCGATAATGGCGGCCTATCGAAGAAGATTGTGTTTCCATTCCAATGTTTAACGCGTTCTAAAGCTAATTTTCTGTCGGCTTTAACTTTAACAATACGTCCGTTTGCTGTATTTATTACGTTCCAACACTTATATCAATTTTCAACTGTCTTTTTCATTTAGTTTTACAATAAATTTCTCTAGGTCTAAAGATCAGCTGTCGAAGGAAAGTTATTTATAGATCTAGATCTAGAATCTAGAAATCTAGGTCAAATCCAAGATTTATTAGTTATAAATACAATAAAAAAAACGAAACTTTAGCAAACCAGTCGTAGATCTAGAATATAGATAATTCTATCTAGATTTAGATAATAATGAGTTTCTATATACTAAACTATTTTAGACCTTTATTATTTTATATAAATCTTTTTTTGTATAGCTATGAAATATGCTAATTAGGAAATGCTGGATGCGGGGCCTATTTGCATAACTTAAGATTCATACGCGGCTTCTATACCGCTAAGTGTGCAAAATTATAGACGTAAACTCTAGATATAGCTCAGTCGTAGATCTAAAATATAGATAATTTTCTATCTAGATTTAGATAATAATGATTTTCTATATACTAAACTATTTTAGACCTTTATTATTTTATATAAATCTTTGTTTGGAATATGGTAATTTTGAAATGCTCGCTCCGGGCCTATAAGCGTAGCTAATGATTATATCTAGATTCTAGGTCTAGCAAGAAAAACTAAACATAAGAAGACTTAAGCAAAAGAGTCGTAGAATCTAGACTAGATCTAGATAATTCTATCTAGATCTAGATAATTTCAGACCTTCTTTATTTTATATAAATCTTTGTTTGGCTAATTTAAGATAAAATTTAATTTGAAAGTTACTACTACTAGAGTTAGATCTAGATCTATGCGCGTAAGGAGACTCAAAGTATAGTATAAAACTTCACTTGTAATGTCACGAGTAAATAGCTAACTTGGTAGTGAGGTCGGCTCTCATGTGGGTGGCACAGGTTCTAGACCAATTCGTCAATGATTTTTTTTTTCAATTTTTTTTTTTAGATGTGAATAATAAAGTTGCCTATCTGAACTTGGCAGGATACAGGGCTGGTGAAGTAGAGTTTGTCTGTTTCTTTGTCCTAAGCATGTGAAAGGTTAGTGTGGTCAGAGACATGCTCGGCTGGAATCGTTTTTTAAACGATAAAAACATGTTGTCTGAGACTTGGCGGGACACTGGGCAGGTGAAGTAGAGTTGAGTAGGTCACCTATGAAGTCAGTATATGAAGGGATAGTCCGAAATCGGTGTTTTCGGTGTTTTTAAAAGATAAAAAACAATTTTTTGAAAGTGGGGTCTGTTTTTTTTTGACGATAAGTGACACTGCAGTAGCGTAGCGAGGAGGGGGGGGGCGGGGGGGGGGGGGGGGGGAAGGGGAGGTGGAGGGGGGAAGGGGGGGGGGCGGGGGGACATATGTTGGGGCGCCAAAATGGTTTGGAAAAATAAATTGAAAGGTTGAGTGGGGTTCAAATCGAAAGTTTGAGTGGGGGGGGGGGGGGGTCACATCAAAAGTTTGAGGGGGGGGGGGGGGTTGAAAATTGAAATCTTGGGAGGGGGGGTTAAAATCGAAAAGTTTGTCCCCGGGCGCCAGGAAGGGTCGCTATGCCTCTGAGTGACAGACGTGATGTTTTTTGATGGATGACCCCCGAAACCCACAGTTATCCAACGGATGACGGGTATTCTAGTACACTACTAAAAGTCAAGTTTGTTTACATGTTTGAATATTTCTTTTTTTGTTTGTTTGCCTGATTGACTATTGTGATATGTTCGACTCTACCGGGACAGCTGTAAAATAGTATGTAGGTAGAGAATAATTTTTTAATGCAGACAGACTGTTGATCACAAATTTATTTAAAGACGTTAATTAATTAATTGATTTATTCATATGCAGAGTAACCCATTTTTTAAAAAAAGATTTGAAAAGCCACTAGACTCGACGGAAACAGTGACGTCACATGAAGTGTTTATTTTTTTTACATCGATAATGGCGGCCTATCGAAGAAGATTGTGTTTCCATTCCAATGTTTAACGCGTTCTAAAGCTAATTTTCTGTCGGCTTTAACTTTAACAATACGTCCGTTTGCTGTATTTATTACGTTCCAACACTTATATCAATTTTCAACTGTCTTTTTCATTTAGTTTTACAATAAATTTCTCTAGGTCTAAAGATCAGCTGTCGAAGGAAAGTTATTTATAGATCTAGATCTAGAATCTAGAAATCTAGGTCAAATCCAAGATTTATTAGTTATAAATACAATAAAAAAAACGAAACTTTAGCAAACCAGTCGTAGATCTAGAATATAGATAATTCTATCTAGATTTAGATAATAATGAGTTTCTATATACTAAACTATTTTAGACCTTTATTATTTTATATAAATCTTTTTTTGTATAGCTATGAAATATGGTAATTAGGAAATGCTGGATGCGGGGCCTATTTGCATAACTTAAGATTCATACGCGGCTTCTATACCGCTAAGTGTGCAAAATTATAGACGTAAACTCTAGATATAGCTCAGTCGTAGATCTAAAATATAGATAATTTTCAATCTAGATTTAGATAATAATGATTTTCTATATACTAAACTATTTTAGACCTTTATTATTTTATATAAATCTTTGTTTGGAATATGGTAATTTTGAAATGCTCGCTCCGGGCCTATAAGCGTAGCTAATGATTAGATTCTAGGTCTAGCAAGAAAAACTAAACATAAGAAGACTTAAGCAAAAGAGTCGTAGAATCTAGACTAGATCTAGATAATTCTATCTAGATCTAGATAATTTCAGACCTTCTTTATTTTATATAAATCTTTGTTTGGCTAATTTAAGATAAAATTTAATTTGAAAGTTACTACTACTAGAGTTAGATCTAGATCTATGCGCGTAAGGAGACTCAAAGTATAGTATAAAACTTCACTTGTAATGTCACGAGTAAATAGCTAACTTGGTAGTGAGGTCGGCTCTCATGTGGGTGGCACAGGTTCTAGACCAATTCGTCAATGATTTTTTTTTTCAATTTTTTTTTTTAGATGTGAATAATAAAGTTGCCTATCTGAACTTGGCAGGATACAGGGCTGGTGAAGTAGAGTTTGTCTGTTTCTTTGTCCTAAGCATGTGAAAGGTTAGTGTGGTCAGAGACATGCTCGGCTGGAATCGTTTTTTAAACGATAAAAACATGTTGTCTGAGACTTGGCGGGACACTGGGCAGGTGAAGTAGAGTTGAGTAGGTCACCTATGAAGTCAGTATATGAAGGGATAGTCCGAAATCGGTGTTTTCGGTGTTTTTAAAAGATAAAAAACAATTTTTTGAAAGTGGGGTCTGTTTTTTTTTGACGATAAGTGACACTGCAGTAGCGTAGCGAGGAGGGGGGGGGGCGGGGGGGGGGGGGGGGGGGAAGGGGAGGTGGAGGGGGGAAGGGGGGGGGGGGCGGGGGGACATATGTTGGGGCGCCAAAATGGTTTGGAAAAATAAATTGAAAGGTTGAGTGGGGTTCAAATCGAAAGTTTGAGTGGGGGGGGGGGGGGGTCACATCAAAAGTTTGAGGGGGGGGGGGGGGGTTGAAAATTGAAATCTTGGGAGGGGGGGTTAAAATCGAAAAGTTTGTCCCCGGGCGCCAGGAAGGGTCGCTATGCCTCTGAGTGACAGACGTGATGTTTTTTGATGGATGACCCCCGAAACCCACAGTTATCCAACGGATGACGGGTATTCTAGTACACTACTAAAAGTCAAGTTTGTTTACATGTTTGAATATTTCTTTTTTTGTTTGTTTGCCTGATTGACTATTGTGATATGTTCGACTCTACCGGGACAGCTGTAAAATAGTATGTAGGTAGAGAATAATTTTTTAATGCAGACAGACTGTTGATCACAAATTTATTTAAAGACGTTAATTAATTAATTGATTTATTCATATGCAGAGTAACCCATTTTTTAAAAAAAGATTTGAAAAGCCACTAGACTCGACGGAAACAGTGACGTCACATGAAGTGTTTATTTTTTTTACATCGATAATGGCGGCCTATCGAAGAAGATTGTGTTTCCATTCCAATGTTTAACGCGTTCTAAAGCTAATTTTCTGTCGGCTTTAACTTTAACAATACGTCCGTTTGCTGTATTTATTACGTTCCAACACTTATATCAATTTTCAACTGTCTTTTTCATTTAGTTTTACAATAAATTTCTCTAGGTCTAAAGATCAGCTGTCGAAGGAAAGTTATTTATAGATCTAGATCTAGAATCTAGAAATCTAGGTCAAATCCAAGATTTATTAGTTATAAATACAATAAAAAAAACGAAACTTTAGCAAACCAGTCGTAGATCTAGAATATAGATAATTCTATCTAGATTTAGATAATAATGAGTTTCTATATACTAAACTATTTTAGACCTTTATTATTTTATATAAATCTTTTTTTGTATAGCTATGAAATATGGTAATTAGGAAATGCTGGATGCGGGGCCTATTTGCATAACTTAAGATTCATACGCGGCTTCTATACCGCTAAGTGTGCAAAATTATAGACGTAAACTCTAGATATAGCTCAGTCGTAGATCTAAAATATAGATAATTTTCAATCTAGATTTAGATAATAATGATTTTCTATATACTAAACTATTTTAGACCTTTATTATTTTATATAAATCTTTGTTTGGAATATGGTAATTTTGAAATGCTCGCTCCGGGCCTATAAGCGTAGCTAATGATTAGATTCTAGGTCTAGCAAGAAAAACTAAACATAAGAAGACTTAAGCAAAAGAGTCGTAGAATCTAGACTAGATCTAGATAATTCTATCTAGATCTAGATAATTTCAGACCTTCTTTATTTTATATAAATCTTTGTTTGGCTAATTTAAGATAAAATTTAATTTGAAAGTTACTACTACTAGAGTTAGATCTAGATCTATGCGCGTAAGGAGACTCAAAGTATAGTATAAAACTTCACTTGTAATGTCACGAGTAAATAGCTAACTTGGTAGTGAGGTCGGCTCTCATGTGGGTGACACAGGTTCTAGACCAATTCGTCAATGATTTTTTTTTTCAATTTTTTTTTTTTAGATGTGAATAATAAAGTTGCCTATCTGAACTTGGCAGGATACAGGGCTGGTGAAGTAGAGTTTGTCTGTTTCTTTGTCCTAAGCATATGAAAGGATAGTGTGGTCAGAGACATGCTCGGCTGGAATCGTTTTTTAAACGATAAAAACATGTTGTCTGAGACTTGGCGGGACACTGGGCAGGTGAAGTAGAGTTGAGTAGGTCACCTATGAAGTCAGTATATGAAGGGATAGTCCGAAATCGGTGTTTTCGGTGTTTTTAAAAGATAAAAAACAATTTTTTGAAAGTGGGGTCTGTTTTTTTTTGACGATAAGTGACACTGCAGTAGCGTAGCGAGGAGGGGGGGGGGGGGGGGGGGGGAAGGGGAGGTGGAGGGAGGTGGAGGGGGGAAGGGGGGGGGCGGGGGGACATATGTTGGGGCGCCAAAATGGTTTGGAAAAATAAATTGAAAGGTTGAGGGGGGTTCAAATCGAAAATTTGAGTGGGGGGGGGGTGCACATCAAAAGTTTGAGGGGGGGGGGGGTTGAAAATTGAAATCTTGGGAGGGGGGGGTTAAAATCGAAAAGTTTGTCCCCGGGCGCCAGGAAGGGTCGCTATGCCTCTGAGTGACAGACGTGATGTTTTTTGATGGATGACCCCCGAAACCCACAGTTATCCAACGGATGACGGGTATTCTAGTATCATATATACATTTAAAATATTTTTTCCTTCCAGCTTGATGCTCCCTTGTTTGTGACATGGTTCCAGTGTGTGGTGACAGTTTTCTTGTGTGTATTTTTAAGTGTTGGGGGACAATTTTTTCCAGGCTATGTGGCATTTCCTGCAATGAAAGTGGAAGCTAAACTTATAAGAGCAGTTAGTATTTTAAAAGTTTTTTTTTCCAAACTTATTGCATTTGTAACCTTGTGTTTAACTTTTGGATTGGCACTGAAGACTTGAGCTATCTCTGTTTACTTGGCTGTTTAACAGTGTTTTGATCAGGCATGTTTAGATACAGCTGAAGAAATTACTTTTTTAGTCATTTTATATTTCATGTAGCATTTTGTTATTTTCCTTTTTGTTTTTACTACTTAATTTCCTTTTAATTATCTTGATCACTAAGTGCAGCCCCAGATTTCCTTTATTTTAGAAGTAGCAACTTGTACAGTTGTCTTAAAACATTCCCTTCTACGCAATGCAAATCTGCGCACACACAATTTAAAAAAAAAACGTGAAGTAAATGTTTAAAATTTTCTGCATATCATTTTTAGAGAAGTGGTTGCTTAATTTTATAATTATAAACAGATTTTACTTTTTATGAGAAAAAATGCAATGTAAATATTATTTTTAGCCTATAAGTAATAGATTTATGATATATTTATCTTTTCCTCAGACTTTGCCACTGTCTATCATATTTGTCTGTATGATAACATTCAACAATCTTTGTTTGAAACATATTGGTGTTGCATTTTATTTTGTGGGCAGATCTCTTACAACTGTATTTAATGTGGTAAGTTTCTATTTAACTTGAACATATTATCATTTGCATGTGTAAGCAGATCTGAATTTTATTTAGTTAAGAAATTCAAGTTTTTTAGAACTTAATTAGATCTCAAAACTAAAGCAAGGTTCACAAGGTAAATTGTTTTTAATTGTGTGCACATTTTTCCCCATACAGATTTTCACATATTTGATGCTTCAGCAAACTACTTCTGCAAAAGCTTTAGCATGCTGTGGTATTATAATAGCTGGTTTTTTTATGGGTGTAGATCAAGAGGGAGAATCAGGTAAGCCGTAGGGATCCATTAAGTATTAAATAAGAAGCATAAACTGATAAGTGAAAAATATTTCTTTTACCTTTTATAATGAAATTTTCATTCCCTGATATTATTGATATGTATATATAAATAATTTTGTTTTGATTCTTTCATCTTAGGGACTTTATCAATCTTGGGTGTTATCTATGGAGTTGTAGCAAGTGCTTGTGTAGCACTAAATGCCATATTTACAAAGAAGGTTTTGCCTTTGGTAGATAATAATGTATGGCGTTTAACACTTTACAATAACATCAATGCCAGTATTTTGTTTATTCCATTGATGATTTTATTTGGAGAAGTTCAAGAAGTTTTTAGATTTCCATTTTTAAGTTCAGTCTCATTTTGGAATTGGATGGTTATCAGTGGAATATTTGGCTTTGCTATTGGCTATGTAACAGGCCTTCAGATTCAGGTAGTTACATTATTTTAATTCTTTTAACCTCCTTGTTATTTTTTATTTGAAAGTAAATACAATTTAGATAAGTGTTAACATATTAAACTGTGTTTGTCTAAATTTATAATAGGTTACTTCACCACTGACACATAATATATCCGGAACTGCTAAAGCTTGTGCTCAGACAATTTTGGCATGCATCTATTACAATGATCATAAAACAAACTTGTGGTGGGTTAGCAACATGGTTGTGCTCTTTGGTTCTGGAGGATATACAGAAGTCAAACGCCGTGAAATGAAACAACAACATAATGAATCTTTAGCTGCTGTTCAAAAAATGGAACAGATAGTGACAGAGATGGAGGACACAAAAACCCCGTAAGCAAAATTATTTTGTGTAATTTCTATAAAACTGCAAATATATAATTACTATATGTACAATCACTCTACATGATAAACTTTATCATAAAGCCATATTTTCATAAGCTTTTTCTTATGGAGTATGTCTTTCAGTGTGTTTGTGGCAAATATTTACCTCTTTCAAATGCAGTTCAGACTAGGCAATTTATTTATATGTAATGAAAATGCAACATTAAATCATTTTCAATCTAGTTGGATATTAAATTAGTCATTAAAAATGTATTGAAAGGTCATTTTAAAAGAAGGGAGATAATCAGATTAATTAGTAGGAATAATATAGTGAGCTACATATGGATTCTTTTATGCCAGAGAATTGATCATGTACTTTTTCTGGAAATCATTTTTCCAAATGATTTCCATTCTAGAAATGAAAAACATTTTCTGGAAATCAACTTATTTACAATTGACATTTTTTGCTACACCCTTACCACCTCATAGTTTCATTATTTAAATACAACCAAATGATTATTTCATCATACATTAGAATTCATTTTGCCAGCTAGTAAAGTCCATTGTCAACCTTAAATTGACATATACTAAAATAAATGCACTCAGGTAGGATACGTAATACTGAAGTATCAGTCAAACTGGATATGGATTTTTTGGGCATAGATAAAAGGTGGGCAATGGTTCTATTAAATGTGATTCATAAACTAATCTGTAAAATGACTGAATATAATACTTTATTAGTTATGTTATAACATGCTATACTCCTCAGGAAAACACCTTATACTTGAAAATCATCTTACAAATATGACTAACATCTTGGACATACACAGATGATAGGTATTTTAAATCAATATATAAACTAATATTTGTTTCTGTTCTAAATTGTTAAGGTTGATGGCTAATGAGGAATATAATGCAGAAAAAAAGTAGTATGTACTGATTTTTATTCTCTGTGGAATTAATTGGTAATGTATATTTTCAAATTTATATCTGACATTCAGTGAATATTTAGTTTTTACATTCCAGTTTTTAAATTAGATTTGACTGTGCTGTTTTATATATCATTGATATGCAACTAATACTTTTTATTTATGAATTTAAAAAACTGCTTTGATAATTTAATGGCTAACATTAATATAAATTCAGTATTTGTCAAATGTTTGGCTATAAAATGCTGTATTAGATGCCCTACCTAATTTCTGTGGTTTAATGGATTAAATTGCAACTAACAAATTTGGTCATTCAATGTAAGAAAAATGTATTTTTATAAGGCGTATTTCCATTTATTGCGAGTTGTAGGCCTATACTTTGTGTAATAAAAGTGCTTATCTTGTTGTTTTTTTTTGTAGTCAGGGTAGATTATTCTTAACTGTTCTAATTTTAGCAACTGTGACAAATTTTACTGATTGACTTTTTAGTTGGTGCATAATTGTAACGATGCGAAATCAAGTTGGTTAATAATATGAATAATACTATAATAAAAATCTGCTTAAAATCTGCATTTTTATAGTTATTTATTTCTAAAAAAAATTTAATGAAAATTCTTCACATTTATTACTATTACATTTTTAAACCACTTTTTCTTTAATAATAATATACTATATTACTAAGCAATGTATATACATTAGACATGTTTACCAACTTCACTTCATAAAGGAAAAGTTATAAAGTACTTCATATGCAACAATGAATGTATAAATAAAATATTTATTATTGTTGAGTTCCAAAATTGTGTGATCAAACATATCTAATGCTAAATGTTACAAAAACTAACTATGATTACTGTGAACAAGACATATTATAGAATGAAGAACTAGTAAACACTAAAATATGAAATATTTTTACAACAAATATTTTGCCCTAGGCGTACAGTTCAGTGAAAGATATTATGACAAAAAAATCATATAAAATAGAAAGACTGTTCAAGAACATTTTTTAAGTATTTCACATTTCATACTTTAATTTCTTTAGTGTGTAGAAAACACTACAAAACCATGTTCCTATACAAAAGCTTTATATAACCCATATTGTTATTTTTTTACTTATCATAGTTGTTTGAAGTTATTTGTATCTACTTGCCAACTTACAAACTTACTTTTACATTTTATTCTTTGTTCACTTTTTAACAGATTTTAAGTTTTAAAGAACAAATCTCCATGTTATGCACTTTATCTTCAAACTGATACATGTATGATGTAATAAAAATTATGTGGTTTGTGGTCCAACAAAGCTTACTACTTCACATTAATTTCCTTTCTCTATAAACTATAATTAGTATTAAATCAAATTTTAAGCTACATTAAAAAAAAAAAAAACCTTGATTTTTAAAAATGGATTTCTCTGGATTGAAATTTAATTTTTAAAAAGCCATTTATTTTTTATTAGTTTGTAAGTTTTGACAGATAGTCAAAAAAAATTATTTTACAAGTGTATTATTTTGTTAATGTTAATTAAATCAGTTAAAGGAAGGATTCCTTAAATAATCTTATGCATTAACTAAGTTGTCTGTTGTAATTTTTAATTTCTTCGTGTGTTAATTTCACTTACTATTGATTAGAAAAAAGTAAATAGGATGTATCATATGTACTGCTTTACATGGAACAGCATTCACTCACAGTTGCAAAAAATATTCTATTACCATATGTTTATAGTGTATAGTAACAATCACCTGTTACTACTTTTCAAAAGGTTTGCAAATAATACATTTGTACTAGTATTTTTTTTTATACATTGTGCTACACCTAACATGATTCCTTCCCCCCCCCCCCCCCCCCCACCCCGTCAACCTGATTCATTAACACACTACTCTAATTATGGCCTTAAAATTAAACCATAATTGAAAATAAAAATTATGTTAGCAGATTAATAAGATTTTTTTTAAAGCATTCATAAATAATAATTTTAAAAAATGAAAAACTAAAGCATTGATGGTTGTCTCCAAGCCTTAATTAACATATCTAGATATTTTATATTGTTAATATTTGTATGTTTTTGCTTTTTTATGCATTTTCACTTATTTATCTGCTGGGAATCCCAATGATGTATTTTTTAAAATTATTAGATGAAACCTATTAATTTGCATTATGCATATCTCACCAAAATGTGATTTTGAACAAAAGTAGAATAGATCTAGTTGTCAAACCATCTACACAGTTGCTAAAAATTTGACAGCACTATTTAGTGTAGAAAGATACTGGAATCTACACTAATATGGAGCATTTGAAAGTATGGTTTAAAAGTTTGTATATTTCTGCTACTACTTACAAGGGTATTTATTGTTACACAGGTTGTAACCTTTTATTGTATAAATAAAAGGTATTTGGGGGTATTATGTTAATTTCCCTTGCACTTTGAGTTGGGACTTGTGTATATTGAGATGTTTTGAGTATGTGAATTCACATTTATGTAAGAAAACGTTCATAAAACTAATAAAACAACTGTGATTTCTCTTTATTAAGTTTGTACTATTTGTTTTTTCCAGTAATAGTAAGGCTACATTAAAGAAATATGGTTTTATGTTCACTGGTGATTTTTAAATTTTATCATGGTTCTGTGATCAAAATAAAATAGACTAATATGCATATTATAGTCCATGTAAAATGTATTTGATTTTTAAACATCTTTTTATTTTTGTATGTAGTTTTAATAAAATAGCCAAAATTACATGGGTCACAGGGGTTAGAGAAGATAGTTCCACTTAACATAAGGATAAAGAAATAAAATGTAGAGGTGCCCAACATTTCAACAGTTATGTGAACTGGTTTACCACCGATGTCTTTTTGCCCCTAGTTTCTCCTGAGACAGAGCCATACAGACATCTCAAATTACATTTACTCTATTATAATAGATTGCTTGTCTACAACTGTCATATGAATATGTTAGTAGCATGTTATTTGAATCATTGACTTTTGCTATTTTTAAAATGCTTTGCTAGAGCCTGTGTATGAGTGATGTTTACATACAATATTGTTTGTAAATTTGATGGTAAAATTATTTTAAAAATAGTCTGCAAGAATATTTAATTCTACATTAAATGGAAAAAAAGATGGCAATTAATTATGATGTTTATTTCTTACAGTTGAAAATTCCAAGTAGAGAAAGTACATTTGTTTTTTTAAATTGAAAACTTTCATTATGTTAATGGTATTTTTTTATTTTATTACTTGTGTATGTTTGTAAATAATGCATCACATGTAGCAAACATTGAGGGTCTCCATATTATAATGCAATTTTGTTGATCTATGCCATAGTATAAAAATGGTTTTATGAAATGTTGCTGGGCCTACTCATTTTATGTCTGGTTTGTTGTAATTACTTGTTGCTAATAATAGAATTATTTTTCCTTTCTATACTTCTGAGCTTTTACAGAAAAAGTGCATAAACAAATATGTATTTGTACAATTCACTTTCACACACTATTCAAAAAGAAGGTAAAACATGTTGAACATAAACAATAGCTGAGTATTTCAATGATATATAAATATAAAATCAAGAATTGGTTATATTTTTAAAAAATTGTATTTTATTGTTGAGTGAGTTTGATTCATTATTTAGAATTAATATAATGTGGGAACAAAATAAACTATATTTCAGTTGAAGTGAATTCTTTGATTTTCTTGTACATCTGTGTCTACTTGTGTGAGCCCCTCATAACTTTCACTATATTAGTTTGCTTGGTAACTTAAAACAAATAATTCCTTACTATATTTGGATTATTTCATAGGTATGCTCTAGCTAAAGCCCATGAATACACTCTTGAATCAACAATGTCACCATTATTTGAATAATCTATGGAAGATAGGAGGGATAAGCATTTTGAAAAAGAGTAGACATAAATAACATGCACGAAATTACCACCATCATCCCCTGGTCAATGCAATAACAACTTAGCAATCCATTTTGGTAAAGTGGGAAACCCAGCCCTAACATTATCTGTTGATTAATTATGTTTGTTAGAGTTCTGTTTAGGGTCCGTTCATAAGAGATGTAGTAATTCTACATATTCTACTTCAATGGTTTTGGTGAGGGGGTGAAGTTAATTGACAAGAGGAACATTCCAGCTCCCAAGTAAATCATGGTGGGACTCCTAACAATTAAACTGAACTAGAAACTTTCAAGCTACTGATTGTTAAGAGTGAAAAGACTAATCTGAAAACTTACCATCTAACCGTTTTAATAAAGAATGTAGTGGTTCTATTAAAACCTCAATAAATTCTGGTGAATAAAAATAAGTGGTTTAAGGTAAAGAAGACATTTAACATCATTGTGTAGCATAAAAGGACATTGTATATGGGATCTACTCATAAACATTTTGATAAGGAAAAAAATTGGAGAATGCAATACACAAAACCAAAACATACAGGTAAACATTGAGTAATGAGCCTTAAGGTATTATACTATCACAACTAAATCCTACTGGTATTGGGAGATTGGGAGTTTGAATTTAATAACAATAAGCAAAGTAGGGCGAGGGGTGTGGGGATGTGCAATGTAAGTTTTTTGTCTTTCTTTTTTTATAAAATAATAAAATAACAGTTTTAATTTATTTAAGAGAACAGGCATGGGGAGATCAAACGTGCCAGTTGTTCCTACAAATAAAAAAGTGACTGAACATATTTGCGGTCCCTGCCATCTAATTGTGAGTGATTTAGGGCATAATTGCACACAAAAGAGCATGCAAAATGGAGGAAATTGTTGGCTGTTATATTATAACCACTGTACTGAAAAGCTCATGAGGTTCCAGAATATTTACACCTGTTTGGCACCAGGCATTGCCCAGCCACAAAGTGTTTACAAATTGGTAATGGCGAATTACAAAAAAACAGAAACCAGTAGAAATTCTTTTTTTTTGTCAGGTGAATGAGGTGTGTACCAAATCCTAAGGCAGAAGTTCAAATAAGTGGTTCCAGCTGGGACTTATTGTGGATGTAAAATAAAAAAATAAAATACTCAAAACAAAACAGTTGTTACCCCCTCTGGTATTTAACAGAATGAGTAGCACTAATAAATTAATAAAAACAAACTCACCATCAGAATCTGCTCATTATCAAAAATACCAGCAGCCATCAAAGATTAAGCCAATACATGGAAAAAAAACAATTTTGAGATTTCTATAAACTTAAAATAATTCAATCTTTAATTTTGAATTCGATCTGAATTTGAAAAATTTCAAACTTAAGGGAACATAACATGAGGTTAAGGAAGTACTAATAGCTTGTTGCCCTACTAAAAACACTGGCTGCTAACAAGATCAAATGGAGAGGCACTGAGACACTGATACAATCAGATGGACAGTTGTTCTGACTGTGGTCTGATCTCCAATAACAACTGCACGATAGCTCATCATAAATGTCACCTCTTTAGCATGTCTAACATTAATTAGTAAGTTTGCAGTTTGAGTTCTTTTTTAAAGCCTGCCAGTGGTTCTCAAAACCACCTCTCCCATTCTATTCAGCCAAAGAATTTTGACTTCAGATAGATAAAATCTAAGATCAGTTTGCACTGTGATTTACTAGAAAACCCTATTTCAATTCATATTTTTTGTCCTTTCCCATTATCAAGTATTAGTAAACTGAATTTTGTATGAGAAAACATTTATTTTACTAACCTCCAACACTTGGTTTCAAATTGTGCTCTTTGAGATCATTTAAGTTCACCTAAAATGAGAAGAATTACTTTCACTTTTAGTCAACAGATTTTTTTGGGAACATTACAACTAAGGATAGATATAAATGTTGTAAAAAATAAACAAACCTCACAAGTTACCATTTTCATAGTGGTGTCCAGCACACCAGCATCTGTGGCAGTAGCTAGACAAAATAAAGACATTTCATTCATTCTCAAGGAAAGTTCTTTGATCTAAACATGGCTTAGAATTTATTTGATTGTTCTACTACATACTTGATACACTAACCAAAATGAAACACATTAAATAAGAAATTCATCCATTGATAAAAAAAAGTAGTAATTACTTCTGTGACAGGTGGAGGGAGTGGGGAGGTTGTTATGAATCTTGAACTCTATGAACTATACTGTCTTTCTTAGTGACAAGAACTGAATCTTTCTTACTTCCATGCGTAATAAACAATGTAACTTGCTCAAGAATAACAATGATAAATAAAACTTTAATCCCATTGAATATAACACAATCCAGTACAAACATCTGATTCCTACTATGTCGTACCCCCAACTGTCTCTCTGGTCTTGTCTCCTATGTTATCACTATTATTCTCATTCTATCAAGGAATTAAAAAACATGACATACTTTTAAACTACCCTATTGTCAATCCAAATTATCTTTAAATGATCCTTATTACCTTCACTAGTCATATATCTATCTACATTAAGAGAACTTCCTACATGAGTCATGGCAGTACAAAGATGTCAATACCTGTGACAACACAGAGATTGACACACCAGCATTGTGACAACACAGTGATGGACACACCAACATAGTGACAACACAGATGGACACACCAGCATTGTGACAACACAGTGATGGACACACCAACATAGTGACAACACAGATGGACACACCAGCATTGTGACAACACAGAGATGGACACACCAGCATTGTGACAACACAGTGATGGACACACCAACATAGTGACAACACAGATGGACACACCAGCATTGTGACAACACAGTGATGGACACACCAACATAGTGACAACACAGATAGACACACCAGCATTGTGACAACACAGAGATGGACACACCAACATAGTGACAACACAGAGATGGACACACCAACATAGTGACAACACAGAGATGGACACACCAACATTGTGACAACACAGTGATGGACACACCAGCATTGTGACAACACAGTGATGGACACACCAACATAGTGACAACACAGATGGACACACCAGCATTGTGACAACACAGAGATGGACACACCAACATAGTGACAACACAGAGATGGACACACCAACATAGTGACAACGCAGAGATGGACACACCAACATTGTGACAACACAGTGATGGACACACCAGCATTGTGACAACACAGAGATGGACACACCAACATTGTGACAACACAGAGATGGACACACCAGCATTGTGACAACACAGTGATGGACACACCAACATAGTGACAACACAGATGGACACACCAGCATTGTGACAACACAGTGATGGACACACCAACATAGTGACAACACAGATGGACACACCAGCATTGTGACAACACAGAGATGGACACACCAACATAGTGACAACACAGAGATGGACACACCAACATAGTGACAACACAGAGATGGACACACCAACATTGTGACAACACAGTGATGGACACACCAGCATTGTGACAACACAGTGATGGACACACCAACATAGTGACAACACAGATGGACACACCAGCATTGTGACAACACAGAGATGGACACACCAACATAGTGACAACACAGAGATGGACACACCAACATAGTGACAACGCAGAGATGGACACACCAACATTGTGACAACACAGTGATGGACACACCAGCATTGTGACAACACAGAGATGGACACACCAACATTGTGACAACACAGAGATGGACACACCAGCATTGTGACAACACAGAGATGGACACACCAACATTGTGACAACACAGTGATGGACACACCAACATTGTGACAACACAGAGATGGACACACCAGCATTGTGCTTTCAATAAAGAGTTGTTGCGTTACCAGTTCAATTGTCCAAGTGTGCACTGATAGCTAAAACAAGGATACAAACTACACTGCTAGAATGTACATAACATTACCTGGTGATACATGCTTCACCGTTACTGTTAAACCTGTCTCTTCTTTCATTTCCCTGATAGCAGCAACCTCGGCTGTTTCACCAGCATCAATTAATCCTGCAAGTATTTTGAAAGTTTTGTTTTTATGTAAAAATTATTGGGTTCATCTTAAGGTCAAGTAGCCAAATAATTGACTGCACTGCAAAACAAAAATTCAGAAAGGATTTTGTGGAAACAAAAAACTTTAGCTGAATGGTACGGAAATTTATTAGAAAAATAGAACAAAAGTGGGACTGTTGTCTATTCACATTTACACTGGTACTGCATTTATACATTAGCATAATTACCTGCAGGAAATTCAACAGTGGTTGAATGTATAGCAGGCCTATACTGACGAATGAGTACAACACAATCACAATTTTGTACTGGATCTTTAAATAGTGTTATCATACCAACAGCTGGAATTCAATTTGATGTAGTAGGATCAGATGTGCTTATAAATAGCTTTAAAAATTAAATTGAATTAAGGTAGAAATTAACTTAAATAATTCATACCATCATTTATTCATGTTTATAGTTTGTTGTAATTACAGCTTGTGGCTATTGAAAAAAAATTAACTAACATAGGTGTCATACATGTACTTGATTACAGATATACACTAGTATAAGTGTAGATATACACTAGTAAAAGTAGTCTAAACAAGTTGACAGTACACAATAAAGATATTTTATAAAAATCTACGTAAACAAAATATATTAAAACAAAAGAGTTATGGGAAAACTTCTAAACTAAATTAAAATGACTATAGTTAGACTGTATAATCTGTATAAGAAATATAAAAACTTTAAAAATAAAAAATGTTGAAATGCATTATAAAAAAAAAAAAACTTCCTTTCTTAATAAAATAGATGGCGGCTAAAATGTGTGAGAGATTTGAACTAAATGGAGTGGATTAAAATTGAGTTAAAGATTTGAACACAAACCCCATTGTGCACCACAGACTAACAGACTTTGTGAACCAAAAAAGGGTTGTAAATAAATAAAACATAATATAAGTGCACTGTAAAAGCTCATGAAAATATCTTACATATTTTAGAGACCTGTTTTTTTTTTTAAATTAATGAAATCAAGTTTCGTTTTTTCTTAAAAGATTATTATAAAGGTTCTTTACATTTCTTGTATTTTATATTTTGTTAGCTATTGTACTTTAAAAATTTAAAATAATAAGTTGATATGTAAGTTTTTAAAAACAGTTTAGGAGGCCTTCTTTAGTTTCTAAGCATTGTGTTCATTTTTAATGAAGTCAGCAATGCATAACTTAAAATATTTGCTTTAAGTAAAACCTAATCTGTAGCTTGTGTTCTCTGCCCCTTCTCAGTCTATGGTTGGCTCTCAGATGTGAAACTAACTATCAGAGACCAACAGCACATCACTGTTTGCTATTACTTAATCTTGTTATCTCCCCTTATGTTATTGAATTTAGTAATTTTTTAATTAAATTTTAATGACTATTATGACTACTTTAATCTCTAATTAGATAAAAGTTAGGTATTTATGCTTTGTCTTCGCAGGAGAATATATTGGGAACTAAATCATTGCATCAAAAGTGTGTCTAGCAAACAATGTGAAATAAATAAAAGCATTTAATAAACAGAAAAAGTCAATTTAAATATTTGTTTTATAGCAACATAATCATTTACTAGAACGTATAATGTCACAAGTCTTAAGGTCTTGACCTAGTGTGACAAAGACTGTGAAAGATCCAATCTAAGAATAATTTTTTTTTTCTAATATAATAATGTTAGAAATCTTTAGTTGATCATACCATCAGCTTCTGTTTTAGATTTTGTAGTTCTTGTAACACCTTCCCATTTTCTGAAAAAAAAACATTCATCCAGTTCTATAATGAATAGGCTTATATGCTACTATTAGTTTATATTACCTTGAAATTTTAAAAACTTTTTGCAAAAGTAATTTTTACAATAATTTTTAAGTAGTTTCTACATTATTCTCATTTTTAAAAAGCATTCGGGTATTCTAATTTTGAAGTATGAACATAAAAAATTCACCTTTCTTTTCCTGTTGGATCCAAGTAGGATATAATATTCATAGCTATCCATTTTCCTTTAGCTACTTCCTAAGAAAAACAAAATTTTAAATTATTTTATTTTATTTGTTAAATAAGAATAATTCTGAAAATCAATTAATCAATTTAATATTGTTAGTTAATTCACACAAACAATCAAATTCTAATATATATTTTTTTTACCTCAGTGTGAATGTGCTTAGCTTTTGCTAAATTATAATCATTTGGTTCTTTACATGTCATGATTCTTGAAATATTTTAGATGTAATTAGCTCTTGATGTTAACACAGATAACAAACTTAAAATCTGGAAACAGAATAACAAAATGTAAATAAATAAAGGCCTATGTATAAACTATAAAGTCGTATGTTTGCAGCTATGTTACAGAGATATTGATAGGGGTCAGCGAGGTCGAGTCGTTAAAGCTCATGGTTGCTTAACCAAAAAGTCTCGACAGCTGGGGACAGCAACTCTTCTAGGAGAGACAAAATAAAATCCAAAAAGAAACGCAGGCCTATAAGTTGACACATATATTTATTGTGTTAATAAAGAGAATCTTTTCCGGGAATCTCTCTCAACACTAAAAATTTAAAACGCAGAAGAAGAAAAACAGATATTGATTTATGTAACTGAAGTTAAGGTGAAGATAGAAGTACTGAGAGTACCAAAATATTTTTTGGAATTTTAATATTATTTTGTGTTTGTAGTTTCAGATATAAAGCGATAGATTTTAATACTAATTATATGTTCCTACTACACTGACTGCAATCTCCCTAATCTCAACCCCATAACATGTCATTAGCATGGGAGTACATAAAAAATAAAATGGTGATTGCTGGGATTAGGTAAGTAGGCTATAGTGATGGAGCTATCTGCCCTTCCTGATAAATCTTGTATTAAAATTATAAATTGCGTCTCTACGTAACTTCATTGTGTTTCTACAGTCTGTTGCAGTTTATGAGTATGTATTTTAGAACTGTCTCTGTAGCCTACTCATTAGCCTACAGTCAACCGTGATCAGTGTTTCTTTCAGACTTTTATTTCAGGGCGAACACTGGTAAAAGTATCTATTTTCTAAATAAATTCTAGTTTGATCCCTTAAAGAAACTTTGACTGTGACTGTTCAGTCATAAAGTGTGGTGTAATGTTTAGTACTAGTTAAAATTAAAGGGTAAACTATTAAACCAGGGAAAACAATGTGCATAATTTTCCTCTATTAACTATTAGGCCTATACATCCTAGAAATAATTATTTAACTCATTACTTGAGTTAACTTAAGTATTTACTATTTAAGTAAGTACTAAATTGTAAAAAAACCCTGTTAAATTATTTAATATATATTGTAATATACGAGCTGACACGCGACATAGTATACGCAGCCATCTAGTTGTTTTATTTTCTGCTTATCAGCAATTCATATTTTGTGAATTCAACACTACCCCCTCCCGCCCTCGCGTTTCCCTCCCGCCCAGTGAAAGCATCCGTTTACAGACAAAGAAAAGATCAATCTGAAATTGTTACCTCCCCTTCATTTCAAATCGTTTAATACTAAATTATCTGCCCCTAGTAGCTGTCACTAACCCGGCTCTACAATTGTAAACATTCGGGGTGAACCACAGCTAACCTGACAGGTGGGGATGAGGGTGGTGGCTAAGCTGCGTGGGGTTTTCTATGGTCTCCATGAAGAGAATTATATATATAGATATAGGCCTATATATATATATATATATATATATATATATATATATATATATATATATATATATATATATATATATATATATATATATATATATATATATATATATATATATATATTTGGTAATCTACCGTTTCAGTTGCATAAAATCAGCTGAGGCTAGTAATGTGCGAAAAAGTTGCCTCATTGTTAAGCTTTAATAGAAGTATATCGCGATATATTTATGTCAAATATTAGGCATATAGGCCTAGATAACTGAATAATAAAACAAAATTCAATGGCTAAGTAAGTATTAAGTAAGTAGAAATCTAATTAATCTAACTATCTATAGCTATATATATAATATAATTATATAATATATATAATATATATATAATATATATAAATGGTAATCTATCGTTATAGGTACGAAAAATCGCCCGCGGCTAGTAATGTACGAAAAATTTACCTTATTGTCAAGGCTTTAATAGAAGTATATTCAAGTATATTGCAGATCCTATATATAAATATTTGTGTCAAATATTATAGATAAATGAATAATAAACCTAAATCAATGGCTAAATATATCAATTTAGGCCAGAAATTAACTTTAAACAGCAGTATTTGCGAGCAAGATTTGCTTTGCATCCATTTGTAAAATAGAGTGGGTTCCCCTGAATCTCACGCTATAAGTTTACAAAAAAAAAAACTTAAATATAATAAACGAGCCGACCCCCGGCATATCATACGCCGCTATTTAGTTGTTGTCTTTTCTACTTTTCAGTAATTCATAATTTGTGAATTCGACACTACCAACGCTGCCACTGAAAATATTTCTTTAAAACACTATAAGTAGCTCGTTAAGGACGATAAACCCCCCCCCCCCCCCTCTGTTAAAGTAAACTCCACTTAGTTACCCCCCCCCCCCCTACATTTAAAATCGTTTCAAACTAAATTATCTGCCCCTAATAGTCGTCACTAAACCCGGCTCTGCTTGTAAACATTTAGCGTGAACCACAGCTCACCAGACCATGTAGGGGTGCGGGTGGTACGGAGCGCGCTTACAGCTTGTTTTCTAGCGTCTTCCAGAAGAAAATTATATATATAGATAAGATGACTGCTATAGTAAAATAGTAAATGAGCATGGTTGCATCTGTTGGAAACATCGCTTGTCTTCATTTATTACTGAAAAGTTTTAATTTAATTGTTTAAAAACAAGGAAACATTTTTCAAAACATAAATCCTCCTCAAAATGTGAAATAATTATTAAAATTTAAGGAGTCACCTGTTTTTCACATTACTAGTCGCGGGCGATTTTACGTACCTAAAACGATAGATTTAAATACTTTAAATAGATTTTACAATATAGATCTAGGCCTAGATCTATATTATATTGTTAGCCATATAATTAAAATATAAATAAATTAATCTAAACTTAAACTTTAAACTCTAAGTCTAAACTGTCTAAACTTAAAACTAGCAGCTAGAATCTAGCAGCACAGCTAGATTAGTAGATCTAATCTAGATCTAGACTCGGTAATCTATCGTTTTGGGTACGTAAAATCGCCCGCGGCTATTAATGTACGAAAACGTTACCTCATTGTCAAGGCTGTAATAGAAGTATATTGTGATATGTTTGTGTCAAATATTATAGATAAATGAATAATAAACCTAAATCAATGGCTAAATATATCAATATAGGCCAGAAATTAACTTTAAACAGCAGTGCCTGCAAGCAAGATTTGCTATATAAACAGCGGCCATTTGTAAAATAGAGTGACTTCCGCCTGAATCTTGCGCTATATGTCAATAAAAATAAAACTTTAACAAGATGGCTGCTATAGTAAATGAGCATGGTTGCATCTGTTGGAAACATCGCTGGTGTTCATTTATTACTGAAAAGTTTTAATTCAATTGTTTAAAAACAGGTACATAAATGAAACAAGGAAACATTTTTGTATTTTTCAAAACATAAATCCTCCTCAAAATGTGAAATAATTATTAAAATGTAAGGAGTCACCTGTTTTTCACATTACTAGTCGCGGGCGATTTTACGTACCTAAAACGATAGATTACCCTAGACTCTACTATTACTACTAACTAGCTTACTATTTACTAGTCTAACGCTTATCTAGTGTTAGACCTCGATCTAGAATGATAAATCTAGATCTAGATCTAAATTTTAATGTTACTTGATCGGGGAACCTGTGTTATATATTTAGTTTTTTTTTTTACTAGAAGTCTAGATCTAGATCTCTAGTTCTAAGTAGATTAGTACTAAAAGAACGAAAAAGTTCGATAAAAATTCAGGAATAGCCAGGGGAAATAACTTAAAAGTTTAAAAAATCTTTATCTCCCTTCCCCTCATCATTCCATGACGGGCCTACAAATATTAAATTAATATATAATAACATTAAATACATCGTCCAAAAAAAACTCCTCCCTCCCCCTCCAATCTTCTAAAGATACAGTGTAAAAATATGGCACTATCGTGAGAGGTCGTTTCTGGAATGTCTGCCATTATTTTTTTTATATTTTTTTTTCCAAATCTGCTTCCTTTATTTTTGTAAAAACATTTTTGTGACTAAGCTTAGTATGACGGAACACTTAAGAGAGACCAGACTTCTATAAAACGAAACTGCTCTTCTCGGGCAAGGAGAAAGACACCCATGAAAGCGGAGTGGCACTCTTACTAATCAGATCCAAATTGTTGTCGATATTCACGTGTACGCATCATCAGATGTTGTGCCCCCTTCAACCTTACTACAGAAGAAGAAACGTTACACTCTACGAGCAATTCCAAAGTAGAGTACCCAAGAGAAATGTATTGATCCTCTAGTGACTAGTGCGACATAATGGAAAGAGAGTTAGAGGAAGTAATGGGCACACATGGACTCTAGAGAATGAATGAAAATGGAAGAGATGTAGATCTACACAGACTTCCATACAAATAATGTATTGGTGATAAGCGCAGCTTCTTCCGGCACAAAAAGACACAAAGTGACATGACTCCCATCAGACAATAAAGCTGAGTACACATTGAATACAATACTATGGGAAATTAGAGAACAAGGAGGTGGAGATAGTCAACACGTTGACGAAACCAGCTTCTAGCATTACCAAAGGCATGTTATAGAATCCCACAGTGACAGTGGCGTAGCGAGGTCGGGTGTCACCCGGTGCGGCACTTAATGGTGTCACCCCCCAGAGGCATAGAGACCCTTCCCAGGGACAAACTTTCAAATTTTCGATTTGCACCCCCCCCCCCTCAAACTTTCGATTTGCACTTTGCACCCCCCCCCCCTCGAGTTTTCGATTTGCACCCCCCCCCTCAAACTTTCGATTTGCACCCCCCCCCCCTTCAATCTTTCGATTTGCACCCCCCCCTCGAGTTTTTCTCTATATATTTTGCTATTTTTTGCCTTGGTGTCACCCCCCTAAATGGTGTCACCCGGTGCGGTCCGCACCCCCCCCCCTTGCTACGCCCCTGCACAGTGATACAGAAAAAGAGGAAGACATGAGAAAAAGACATGAGTATTATTGAGAAACAGTTGGAAAGAAACGAAAAACCAAGAGCAGAAAAGCATAGAAGCAAACTGTAAAAGGCATGTGCTCCTCTAGGATAAGAAGAAATTGACTAGAAGTCGAGGGTGGGTGGGGGGGGGGGTGGGGGTGGGGGGGGGATGAGTTATTAGCGCGGCCAAAAAAAAAAGACTGAAATCTATTGTCACCAGGGGCAGGAAACAGAAAACTATTCAACAAGCTACACACAGTGTTTGTTCAAGACATTTTTTCTCCGGGGGGGGGGGGGGGGGGGGAAAGGGGGGCAACATGTTCCGGGGGTGTGGACACTGGTAAAAGTATATGTTTTCTATATAAATTCCATTTTGTTCGAGGGGCGGTAGACTTTCTTCGGGGACATATAGCCCCCCCCCCCCCCCCGAAGAGATGCCTGGAAGAAACTCTGGCTACACAGATTACAGGAAGAAACGGTAACAGACTTTTAAATCCTAAGGTCCCTTCCCCAAATTAATAAGATTTAGTCAGTATTCCGCCGCTATGCTTTGATTTTGAGGTTTTTAGTATTCTGAAACGCATCTTCATATTTATCATTATGTATTTTTCTAACGTAGGGGACAAACAATAGGGCTGGTAAGTAGGTCACCAACCAGTTCTACGGCTCAATAAAACTTGCATGAGCCATAGAACTGGTTGGTGACCTACTTACCAGCCCTATAGCGGGAAGCGATGGTGGATGTCTCCCTTTTCGATGTGCATCCCTTACACGTGTTTATTTTATTCGAGTTATTTTTATTAAAAATCAAAATCAACTATGTAATAAAATAACAAATTATTTTTAAAAAATAATTCGAGTCTAATTTCCAAAATAATTTTTTAATTGTTCCAAATATGTATATTTAAGACATTTAAATTGAACAACAAAGTTATGATTATTCACACACCTATATTCAAATAAATACATGACATATTCACATAGGTAGATTTACAAAATGCGAAAATCTTATTCAAAAGTAAGAAAATGGAAGCTGCATTGAGATTCAGAAAATATATAAAATACAAATGTATATATAAATTTTTACGGAATACCTTAACATCAACATGTCGATCTGTCAAAAAAAAACCTCCACCATCAACAACCGTTCTATCCCCTAAGCATAATTCTATAAATAAATAGTATTGCTTTCCCCCTGACGAAACCTTAGGTTGAAACGGCAATTGTTACTTTGGTATATAGACTAGCCAACTAGGCAGGCGCTCTTGTCCAATACAATCATTAATGAAGGATATGTTACTTTGGCCAGGGCATACACAAATAGGCTGCCTGTGTATGCCAAGTCCCACCGCACTTATCTGATTAGCAACTGGACATTTGATCAAAGAGCTCTTATAGGGTGTCACGTGAATGGAAATGTTGCTACGGCGCAGATAGAGTCCACACAACACGCCTTCCACCAGAAGGAGGATTTACTTGTCTTATCAACACTGTCCCTTCTAGCCTGGGTTACGATATAATTATTGTTTATCATTATTATGAGAGAATGGAACTTTCTCGAAGTATCTAACCAGAGAGCGTACATTTTTTCTAGTCACTGGTCGAGTTTCTTCGCTTGTCTGCTTGATGCCAGTGTAGCTCTTGTCCTTTGTGAGATCGATAATGAGCCCAGCACTGTTTAAACAAGTTGTGTCGGACACACGTTTCCTCGAACATAGCGACGTATTTAGGGAAGTGGGGTGACATGGAACAGTAGGTGTTGTGTAAAGAGTGTAGAGATCCCTGCTGGAGGCTGTCAAAGATCTTTGGCTAGCACTGAGGTTCGTCGGCCTTAGATCTAGGTGATTTGGTGGATTTGTGCCCCCCGTTGGCCTTACATCTAGGTGACTTGGTGGATTTGTGCCCCCCGTTGGCCTTACATCTAGGTGACTTGGTGGATTTGTGCCGTCCGTCGGCCTCAGATCTAGGTGACTTGGTGGATTTGTGCCGTCCGTCGGCCTTAGATCTAGGTGACTTGGTGGATTTGTGCCGTCCGTCGGCCTTAGATCTAGATGACTTGGTGGATTTGTGCCCCCCGTTGGCCTTACATCTAGGTGACTTGGTGGATTTGTGCCGTCCGTCGGCCTTAGATCTAGATGACTTGGTGGATTTGTGCCCCCCGTCGGCCTTAGATCTAGATGACTTGGTGGATTTGTGCCGTCCACCAGGTTCGAGCTGCCGGTGGGTGTTTGATTCAAGTCCAGAGAACCTTCTGGATGCTGGGATGCTGACCAACGGGTCTCCGTGTCATCATTCAACTGTGAACTAGGAGAGAACAAGTCATGCAAACGATCGAGCCTCTCTTTTGTGTCTCTTGGTTCTTTTATCACATCTTTTGATTCGTGTGCACCACTATGTCTTCTGTAGCTAGAGTTGATGCCAAGTTCAAGGTTAACCGCGTCATTTCTGTCATGACATCCTCTGTTCGAAAGTCGCGCAGAGAATCGTGACCTTCCCGTGTCACCAGCTATAGGGGCCAACTCTCCCTGGCCCATACAATCACGTGACTTTTCTGTGTCAGCAGCTATCGGGGCCAACTCTCCCTGGCCCATACAATCACGTGACCTTTCTGTGTCAGCAGCTATAGGGGCCAACTCTCCCTGGCCCATACAATCACGTGACCTTTCTGTGTCATCAGCTATAGGGGCCAACTCTCCCTGGCCCATACAGTCACGTGACCTTTCTGT